GTGGAATAGTGCTTTTCTTGATCTTGAAAAGTGCTTTAACCTCGCGTCTTATTTGTCTGAACTTCTTTTGGTCATCGCGCTTCCACTTTTTTACTGCAGTTCTCACTTTGTTTTTGACTTTAAGTAATTACAGAAATTCTTGATCGATCCAGGGATGCTCATTTACATTTCGCGCTTTGCTTTTGGAATGTGTAGGTCGACAGCGGTGAGAAATACATGAGACAGGTTGGGAAGCAAAGCGTTTATATCGTTTTCCACAAAACGTAAATCCCAGTCAATTAGACTGAGTTCACTTTTGAGGCCTGACCGGCCAGCTTTCTAGGAATAACATACTTGTCGTTTGACTTGGGGATTTCTTGCGATTCGCACGTCAATGCAAAATTTGATGAGTTAATGGTCTGACTCCAAAATATCGTAAAATCCTACGATGATAACAATCTTATCGGGAATGTTTGTGAGCACCAAATCCAATAAATTCTCCTGTCGCGTTGGAAAATCGACAACTTGCCAGACAAAGTGATCCTTGATTGACTTGGTGAAGAGGTTATAAATGTCGCTATCGGTGGAAGAGATCCTAATGGACCAGTCAATATTTGGTAGGTTAAAACCACCAACAATGAAGAGTTGATCGATCCAATTTCGCCCTGGAACCTTCGCGAAGAAATTTTGTAAACTCAGTCAAGTACCAACAGTCAGAGGATAGAGGGCGGTAGAATACTACCATTAAGATCTTTTCTTACACGATGGACGAAGCTTCCGACACACAAGAATTTCAGCCGAAGTTTCCATATCAGGTCTTTTAGGGCTTGGAATAGTATTACGGACTGCTATAAGGACGCCTCCTGCACGGGGCGCTGGTCAAAAATCTCCCCTATTAATGGCAAATGGGCAGAATCTCGCAAATGTTAATTAACTTCCGTAGTTAATAATAATAATAATAATAATAATAATATAGATTCTTATTAAGCGCATTTCTATCCTCAATGCGCTTTACATTATGAAAGCCGATTGAAGATCATTACATTTCTAGCCTATTGTGACATTATACATCAAGTATTGTAAAACGTGTAAAAAAAACCTAAAATGTTAAGCATGAGAATCAATTGAAACATTTCCTGAATAGAAATGTTTTAAGTTTTGTTTTATATGTTGTAACACTGTCCTCATTTTTTATATATTCTGGGGTAGTGTTCCATAACTGAGGTGCTGCAGTGGAAAACGCGCGTCCTCCATATGTTTTGGATTTTATGGCTGGGGTGCATTATAGCGAACGGGATGACGATCGTAGAGCTCTTGATGGATGATATTTCTTAATCAGAGGTTCCAGATATCCAGCAGATTGTCCATTTAAGATCTTATATGTGATAAGAAGAATCTTAAAATGAATCCTTGCTGCCACAGGTAGCCAGTGCAGGCTCTTTAATAAAGGTGTAATGTGGTCAGAGCTGCGGGCTCCTGTTATCATTCGAGCTACGGTATTCTGAATTCTTTGTAACTTATCTCTCTGGTATTTTGGGATGTCATATAAGAGACTATTGCAATAGTCGAGCCTGGAAATCACAAGGGAATTCACCAACATTTTCAATCCATCGGAAGGAAGGTCCTTTCGAATACGACCAATTGATCTTTTGGCATAACTGGCTTTCTTGCACATTTCGTTGATATGTTCAGTGAAAGACAAGGTGTTATCCATGATGACACCCAAATTTTTGGCTTTTGTTTTCACTTCTACTGAGGTATTAGCTAATGATAATGTTTCGTAAACTGTAGGTTGCTTGCTGAAACGCGACGTGAAATGTAATATATCAGTTTCTCCAGGGTTGCACTTTAACATATTCTTAGTGTTCCACGTAAAAATATCATTGATGCATCCCTTTAGAACACCGACAGAGTCAACGGATTGTTTAGGATCGTCAATGATGATGTAAATTTGGGTGTCGTCCGCATAGAACATGGAGTCGAGACCGTCGCTACGTATAACATCTCGGACAGGTGCCATATAAAGAGTGAACAGCAGCGGCCCGAGTATTGAGCCCTGGGGAACGCCATACTCTAAATATCGTTGCGGAGATGTTGCATCCGCTATAGAAACTCGCTGAGATCGGGCAAGCGAGTAAGAGGAGAACCATTTTAGAGCTGTTTCTGTGAAATTAAAATATTTCCTTAGCCTTGCGAGGAGAATTTGGTGATCGAGGGTGTCGAATGCTGCGGACAGGTCAGGTAGCACAACTATTACTTCACCGTTGCTGTCAAGAGTCTTTAGGATGTCATCGGTAACTCTTAGTAGCGCAGTCTCTGTTGAGTGATATTTCCTATAAGCAGACTGTAAGGTAGGAAACAGGTCATTGTCATTCAAGTAGTTGTGAACTCGGATGGCAGCTGTTTTTTCTAGTACCTTGGAGAGGAATGGTATGTTAGCTATAGGTCTGTAGTTAGCCAATAAATCAGGTTTAAGATCAGGTTTTTTCAATTTTGGACGAACCAGCGATGTTTTTAATGAGGCTGGAAAGATCCCATTTGAGAACGATTGTCTCACAATTCCGCTGACCATAGCTAGTACAGAACTTATGTTATCTTTAATAAGATGCGTCGGGATCGGATCGAGGGAGCAGGTCTTGTTTGAGAGGGATGATAGGACGTTCTTGATGCTTTGATTTGATGGCGGCGTAAACTGAGGAAATTCACAGTTAGGCATGTCTCGGTAACAGCCAGCAAATCCGCGTTTGAGGCAAGAACTCTGACAACTTATAGTTCGTCGGTCTTGTTGACCGAGCGTTTGGTCGTGCGTTCATGTAAGACAACTGATGTTTAGTTGTGCTTCAGTATCATGACGACAAGTCCTAGAGTTTGCGGTGGACGTTGAATCCGCGCTGGGGCTAGGGTTTGGATGGATTAAACCTTGTAATTTCAGCCTACTTAGTTGGAAAATAGCGCATGAGTTGCTGTAGAACAAGATAAGGCTATGATTGAAAGAGCCTGTAGCTGACACCGACATTGCCACGGACAATAATGCGCTAAAACTGGTTGTCATTTGTAAAACATCCGGGGGTACGGCTTTCCTGTAGATTTACCATCGAGTTGGATAACAACAAGAGAGAACAATTAGTATATATGGGCTGGTTAGACTCTTAGGCTAACAAGAAGAACAACGAGAAAAACTTATTGTCTCGCGGAGCCTTTCCGCGCCGCCATCTTGCCTGCAGTTCCGTAGACAAGAAAAGATAAAGGCTAGTCGTCAATTTCTGACAGCTTTGGCAACAAATTGGGGAGTACAGTTTTTTACTGAATGAATACTTAAAATAATTGTTTTCTGAGTATTTCCATGGACAGGCTTATTGGATGTTATAGATGTTTGGATGGATGGGGCTTATCCTTTTTATTTCTTTTAGTATTTTGTTCCACGGCAGTTTTAAGTTAATTATTAATGTATGGTGTCAATTTTTAAATGTTAAAATTTTGTTTTTTCCATACACTTAGTGCAAAACTCTTCACCTGAATACTGACAGAAAGTCTATATTGAGATGGAGAACTATTTATTCAGCAAAACGTTCTTTTTGAAACCATATTTAAAGAATATGACACAAAATGAAGGTGATGCTTTTTGAAGCTTGCGACTGCAATGATTACTATCTTCATTTACCTTAGTTTGTATTTCTGAGGTCGCATCACCATCTTCATTCAAAGTTTCATTCCTTTCACAGGTAAAGATGAACTCAACAAACTGACCTGCTCCCAATGTGGCGGTTCCCCATGGCTCAGTTGGTAGAGCACTGCATGTTTTTTAAATTTTGATATTGCAGAGACCATGAGTTCCATTCGAATCCCATTGGAAATCCCCAATTATTATTATTATTGGGGGGAAGGGGGGTGCTTGATTTGCTATTGCTTAAAATTTTGAAGAGGACTGTGACGATCATATCTTTATGTAATTTTTGTATTTCTGCAGCTCACATTACCTTCACTTTATCGATCTTCATCATCATCATCACCTTTACCATTACTTTTATTATTATACACACATTACCTTTTGCACACCTATATCAGTTGCTCTCTTTAGAACCTCTACAAAGTCATCTACATTTTTATCAAAATATAAAATATTAGTTTTTAAAATAACATGATTTTCTTAATTACTAGAACAGTACATAAGTTCATTACAAAACCTAACCTTCATGAGCCTTCTTCCCGTGATAAATACCTTTAAACATTGAATCTGCAAAATAATCATGCGTAAAAGATAGCGTTGTTCTTTCTTTTCTTATCCTTGCCTACTGAAAAACGGCTTCTAATTTACCTTATTAGTATTTTATTGAAAAAAAATCCAAAATTTATAATACCTGTTAGATTCACCCCAATATCTTGTAAATAAGAAAAGATATTAGTATTGGCCAGGGTATTGTTACTTCAGCGAACAAACATCATAGAAAACAACAAGATCGGCAACAGATTGAAAAAATGACCAAAATCAAGGCTAAAACATCAACACACCAATGAATCGAAGCAAACCTGCTGTCGCCATCTTGGAAATCATTGTAATTTATATTATAGTAGGTTTTATATGACATGAAACATGTTTGCTTAAAACGCCGCTGAATATACTATCACTTTTTTGGCGCAGGCTTCGTCCCCAGTGTCTTCTCGTTTTCCAATATGGTGGCTACAGCACATGACATGTTTATATTACATGACGTACAACACTCCGCTGGACTTGTGTTGCGTAGGCCAATATTAAAAAGGTCTTATTTAAAATTTTTCCGTGACAGCCTTTTTCATCGCATCTGCCAGTTGGTAAGTTCCCGTCTGCTTTCAAATCAAAATGTTTTCCCTAGATATGTAGTATTTGGGTTACAAGCTATCGCGTGAAAGTAACCTGGTAACAACGTAACTTAGTAAACAGGATCTTTATAAGCGCTGATCTTGTGTCAGCAAATCTGCTATGTCATTGTTGTTTACGGCTATTACATAACTGTACATAACCGTAAGTGTACATTCCCAGTTCTATGGCGATGCTGAGTCAGGCAATTAGTAGATACCAAAACCTGTGAATCGTATGAACAAACTTAAAGTTAGGAATGGCACAATATAGAGTTCAAAATATGTCTATCCTTTGAGGCATGATATCAATTACAATATAGGCTCAAACAAAATTAGAGACGTGACGATATATGCTTCAGCTTAAATATATCTCTTGTCCGTGGAAGTTGATCAATATTTTGCTTGTTTTTTCAGTTGCGCTGGCAGCAGCGTTTGTTATTAAGAGAACTGACGTGGTTGCAATAGCCAGTTTGCTTTCCGTAGATGCTGACTGAGTACGTGCCTAAACTTGATGATGAAGTGCCTTGTGGTGTTTCTGTATTTCGGAGCTTTCCTCCCGTGTTTTTATCTGGAATGCAAAGGTGAGCACACGCGATCTTGATCTGAATTTACTAATCTGAGTGCGGTGAAAAATTCTGAACATTTTGTTTCAACCATGACTGAGCGTTTCCTCAAACTTCATCAAGGGTGACGCTAGGATTTTGTTCTGTGATACCTGATTTTAAATCATTTCATCAACAAACAAAAAAAAAGAAAAACAGAAAACAGAGGGAAAGTTTCCTTTTCTTTTTGACAATATTTTCTCTACATACTCATCGTGGTGGCAGTTTTCTTACACAAACAGTTCAAAACGTGAATAGTGCAGATCGACATGTATAAACTTGCTAAATGACGTGCATTTGGCTGTTTGGAATTTTTTAAGTACAGTGTATGAACAGATTCATTTTCCGTATTATTTTTTCTTTAATACACCCGTAATTGTCTGTCACTGAATGCAGATAGCATTGACTCTGCAAGGCTGTGCTGTTATAGTATTATTTGGTGGCTCCTTGTTGCCTACTTTTTTGGGTGACAAAAAATTATTGATCAATATTTAACAGTTAATAAATGAGGCTGAGTATCTTATGAAGAATTATGGAGATCGGCCGAGGTGGATAACACCCTCCGAGAGTCATTCAAAATAATTCCTAGTTTAATCCATTGATGCATCGATGTTCAGTTCATCTTCGATAGTGTACGTTTAGGTTTGTCCAGCTCCACAAATACTCTCCAAATAGCAGATGTTAAACTCCGAGTTGTCTTCTTGCTGTTTTTGCTATGTTTTTAACTATTACTTCGCCTAGTTCCAGATGTAGTTCTTACTCTTGAAATGAGTAAATCGTCGGCCATTTTTGTTTTCACAACCAAAACAACTTAACCTCGTCCCAAGGTCTTATTGGTTAACGGTTCATTTACCTGTAGAAGGCTGCATTTTTGACGTCATTTCCTCATTAAACACAAAATTCGTCCAAATTTGGTCATCAGTAACTGGGTATGGGGAATTAAACTTGTGCTTTTAGCCAATCAGAATCGGGGAAATAATTATTTTGAATAATTTTTTTTACACATATTTCTTTAGTACTTGACTCTCTAGATTCTCCTCAGACCTGTTCTGTACTTATTTTTCCTAGAGTACTTTTTAACAGCCTTGTAAATCATTAGTTGTTATTAATTGCACAACTTTGGTCATTCAATTATTTATCAGCATTTAAGTATGATGGATTCTCACAACATGTTCAGTACTCTGGGAGAAAATCAGAAAACATATTGTTTATTGACAAGTTTCATCATCACCGGTCTAAAAGAAATGCAGATTCAAATGCACCAAGTTGCAAAGTGAATAACTGCACATATGTTAAGGTAAGATTTGTTAACATGTCATACAGTGTATTCATCCATAATTCAATTTTTTGAAATGGGTCAAGTATCAGTTAATGAAAAATGCAGAGATATTGACTTATATTCAAGTCACTCTTACTGTCAGTGATATTAGCCTAACAAAATTACTGTCTGCATGTACTGCCTCCTATATTCTTATAAGTGTTTTTTGTATTTTAAAACCCTCACTAATTTTATTCATTATGTAGAGACCTTACAAATGTATGTATTAAACCTGGCTTATAAAAAAAATTAATAGAAGTATTAACTTGATAAAACATAGGTAATTTAAAACCTGGTGGAAGTTCAGCCTTTAAATACAAACACAGGGACAATGTATATGCTGCCTACAGAGCTATGATTTTGGGACTCCTCAATACAGTATGTTGAAGACAGAGTATTATGCACATCTCACCATATCAGCAACCCTGGGGGGGTACTCCCATACATTACCTATACGGGTTTGTGCCGCCCAAAGGGGTCGTGATTTTGAAGCTCCTGGTTTAGAATGGGGTATCCATTTCAGACGCGGTTTCTAGAACGGGGTATGATATTTCGAACGCACGAAAGCTCTCCACTTTTGTAAGTAGCCATTTAAAAGCATTCAAGGACAGATTGCTTTTAAAATACGGTTCAGTGCGTTAAGAAGCAAACCGTTGTACTCTTGTTACACCCTAGAACGGAGTATAAAAAATTGGCCCATTTCTAGAACGGGCTGTTAGTTTTAGGGCGAATTCTAGAACGGGGTATAAAAAATTGGCCTATTTCTAGAACGGGGTATCAATTTTAGGGGAAATTTTTTCTAGAATGGGGTGCCAATTTGGAGTCCCGGGCGGCACATACCCACCCAAAAAATAACCAAGTGCTACCCCGGGATCAGCAATGATTGATAATATCTATGTAGAACTACAATTATGTATAAAGATATATATAGAATGCAGATACTCATCAAATCTTGACTTTCTCCATTTAATTTTAGGTAAATCATAAGTATTATGTGTCGCATACATACATCAGTGGCCAAAACTTTTGGCGGAATATAGAGGAAAATCCTAAAAGCAAAGTCCACCCTGTTCTTTCACAGACCTTCTTAAAAAAGTCGGTAAGTATTTGAAATGACTTTAATTTTGACATAAATTTTGTAAGATGAGAACAAAAGCAGCATGAAGGTGCAGTTACATGCAGTAGATGGCTTGCTGACAACCCAATTCCTTCATCTGGAACCCATTCCTCATTCAATACCAGAATAAGTCTTCTTTCTTCCTTGATTACAAAATGTACATGCACTAGTTGAATGTGGAATTGTTCTTTTCACAGACACTTAAGCTCAGCTTTATCTTTCCATACTATGGTCACTACCTTGATAGTGTGGTGCTGACAACTGGAGGTGAGTTGATTCAAATTATACATGAATAATTGTTTTATTGTTTTATTATCATTTTGCCAAAAAACACAAAATATACATATTAAATTTTTAAAAAAAGATGAGGCAAGGGAGCCCAAGGAAGCCAATAAGGCTTGTGTATAGGACCACCTTTTAAAATTATGTCATCTAATTAATAATTACAATACTGACATCGGCAATTTAGCTCTAAGTACACACAATTTGTTTGGAACATAGAAAATAATCATTAAATAGGATAAAAATAGAAAAGGCTGAATGACTGTTAGTGCAAAAATGAGAAAAGAAATACTGCAAGAAAAAATGAGAAAAAAAGCGAAAGAAGCGAAACACTACACAAACATTAGGAGAACAAAAGTATGCTTATACCAAGAAAAAATGACTTAAGTTTAGAATTAAACAAAGCAGTACTAGAGGGATTCTGAATTCCAGGACTAAGGGAATTAAATATTTTGGGCCCTTGAAAACAAAGTGAACATTTCCTTACATTTGTCCTCCAGTCAGGTAAACGATTAGATTAGATTAGATTAGATTAGATTAGATTAGATCAGGGCAAACAATGAGATTAATGATTGAAGTTCTTGCACGTAAATTACACTTGACACTTGACTGTGAATGTTCTTACTTGAAGGTTTCCTGTACATGGATTTTTATAACACATCTCTTCTGACAGACGTGCAATACTTAGCTCCTCTCATGGCTTACTTCAGTCCAGATCATCATCCAGATTCTAAAGTCATCACCCTTGACGATGGTATCAAATATTTATGTTGTGATAAATGTATACTGGTACTTACTTTAGCTTTAATCTTGTACCTGATTGAGTAGATTACAGATGTACATACTTTGGTACTTCTATACTTGTATCTCAAGCACTTTTATTGAGTGCTAGTAAAAAGCATCAGCTACTTTGCTCAGAGAAGTTGAGTTCTTTTTAATAAATAGAAGGTAACTGAGAAATTCTTTCAAACATTACTTATATTAGTTGCAGTCGGTTGCCAAGATTACTCTATACAAACCAGCTGCTTGGTGGAGAATATTATTAATAGAATGTACCTGAGGTTGGAAAAATGATGTCTCTAACTGTAATTGGATCCCCAGTGTTAAGAATTTCAGCATAAACAAGTTAGCTACATAAGTTATGTTTTTTTAAACATCTGTATGTACTTTTTATTTGCTCAAAATTCCCAACAAAATTCCTTCTTTTGTTGTTTTAGGTTTACAGCTGACAGTACAGTGGTCAAAAGTTTATCTTCGTAACAGAACTCATGGTAGTATTAAGCATGAAACATTACCTAATAATTTTTTGATAATAATTATCATACAGTGCTTTCAGTTAGGAATTCAGACATTTCCCATAAGTGATCTGATTAATCTTAGTGTGCATACGGGTGAGATATTCTCATTATACCATGAGATAAATTTTGATAATTTGATTAAATGACACTAAGAAGCCTCTATATGCCGGGTATTTATTTCAGTGATAATGATCACTCTTCAGGGGCGGATCCAGGATTTTTTTTAGGAGGGGGTGCACTCTTCTCCACATAGTTTTTTTTTTGGAAGAATACCAGTTGTAGAAAACCGCAGGTCATCTCGGGGGTGCGCACCCCCTGCACCCTGCCCCAAGATCCGCCCCTGCTCTTGATGTAAAGATCTTAGGGTTTAAAACAACAATCAAGAAGTGATTGCATAATGCTATTCTTTGGTCAAGGTTCAGTGGCATAGCCAAGGGAGGGACACTTCCAGGGGTTCCAGAACCCCCCTTGGGTTACAGCATGGGCTATAATTTCAAGAGGAACGAGATTTTAGCTGTTAAAGAAAATGATAAAAAAATCAATTGAAAAAAGCATCAAATTCTACTTCGAGGGTTACATATGAATACTATGAGGATGATCATACATTGTACGAGGCCCCAGTGTGTATACAAGCCTGCAAAGTGGGATTCAGCACCTTGTTGGTCTCGGTCGTTTGCATGATCGATGCATGTTGTAATGGTTTGACTATGAGAGGGTTTAATACAAACTCGTGTAGAGGCATAAAGTGAGAAGGTAGAATGAAATCAGCATTGATGTTTGCAAACCACTGTGAGGAAATTGTCTGAAACTGGCACACTTAACACTAACAGCACAGCGAACTGCCTAAAACATACAGTATTCAATTATGAGTTCATCGCAAGATGCAGTGCCTTTTTCTTACATAAAAGCTACTCAGTATCAGGCTCTGAAAGCGAGACAGAAATGTCTGTTAGACTACCATCACCCCTAATTTTCATGTGGCAGCTTTTCTGTTGGCAGCACAAGTGGCTCAATGCAGAAAAAAACCTTTCTAGTAGTGCAGTTGAAAGCTTGGCCATGAATTCTTTTCAAGCTGCATATTTCAAGTACGTTACAAATTAGATCAGCAGAACTTGAGCGATGGCTCTGCACATTGCGCAGACTTAAAAAGTAGTCGGCAGCAACCATGACTAAAGAGCAAGAGTCTGCTGCTCTTGCTCTGATGAACATTGGATAATGCAAATTGGCCCAAGTCCACCAATCGACACCTTTGCACGGATCGAAGCATCCATGATGTCTCGTTCTTGCTAATATCCTTACTGAGTAAATGGCAAATCACAAGACTACAGTGTGTGTTTTAATGTATTCAGTGATTATCAACATATATGTTGTAGTTTATTTTTTATTTCAGGTAATTTTTATTTTTCTTTTCCTTCCAAAAAGTGTGATGCGTATCCAGATTTTTTGTTCTGTTTATTAACTCTGTTTAATTTTTTTTTGTATTTACTAACTCTTGTCATCATTGTTGTGGGTTCACTGGCTCCTATCAGTGTTGCCATGGAAAACAATTCTTGATATGCAAGTAAAACGTTTATTGAAAAATTAACTGACAAATGAAAAACACCTGAAGAAAGTGATGTCTGCAGTCTGTACCCATATAGGGACTCACTCACTCTAGTCCGTGTCATGTTGGGGGGGAAGGGGGGGAGTGTAAAAATTGGCGAGTAATTATGTACATTGTACACTTCCACTGGGGAATAAGACTGAAGAAAAGTCTGTGAAAGTGAATATTTTACTGCACCCTCAAGGTTTTACAAATACACCAATGCAACAAGAAAATAATTAACACAAATTCATGCAATCAAGCTTTTTATTTATATCTCAGCAGTGTCTCAACAGCATAGAGCTTGGTCCATAAAGGAAATAAATTTTACTAAAGAAGCACAAATTTCCTGTAGATAATTATATTTATCGTTTCTTTCTTCTTTTTCTACTCTTTAAAGATGGACACTTCACATTTCAGTGCACTTTACATAAGAATGGTACAATATGGTTCGCATACAAAGAGGTAAATTATGACTCATCCTCCATAGCAGTTGTCTTAGTAAATTAGGGAAAATTACTGTTTCCTTGCATCATTCTGAAGCTTATGGATGTCCAGATTAAACCTGAGTTTTGTTTTTAGCGATTATAGAAAGGGAAAAATAGAAGAGTAAACCTTATAAATAGCTGAATGCCTAGCTCCTATAGACATTAGGACTTTAACTGAACCCCAGTGAGGTGAAAACATGAACTAAGCACCCAATTTAAAAGATTATTCTTAATCTGCTAATAATTAGATGAAATTCAATTTATTTTCAAAATTTCTCACATCGTTTGAAATATTGACCTGTGGGAGTGTGTTAATGACTCATAATGCACAAATTTCATGCATACTTACATGTAACATAAGACTATAATTTTATCTTTTCTTTCACATATGGACCTTCCTACTATAAAAGACTATTTGAAGTTTCTCAGATTTTTTAATGCCGTTATTTGGCCATAAGGCATACATTCTTTTGACATTTGCTGTAGCTGTTGTTGTCATTCTCTAGAAACAATACAAGCCAATTCTGCTTAACTGTTAAAGTTAACTACAGTCAACTCCCTGTTACTCAAACCCTCTCTAACTTGAACCTCCCACTAACTCGAAGCAATTTTCATTTCCGTTCAGATAGTTTTCTGTATAATTTTACCCTCAATACCTCAAACTTTTTTCTATTTCCCTTGAAGGTTCCAATTATCCGGAGCTGACTGTATGTTTTATGACTGTTATGACTGTTTCACATTATTGTGGGTCCATAATTGTCATGGTACATTTACTTATCGCACATATTAAGTATTTCTATTCATAATATCACGGTGGTTAGCTCGAAAGCTAGGCTCCTCTGACCACCATACACTTCTATCAAAGCCATTAATGTTTTCTTTTTTTTTCCCTCTTATTTGTTACTTTATTCCTTGTCGTTACTATTATACAGTGTAAATGTTGTAGACAAGTAACTAAACCGAAGTGAATTAAAAACCATTGCAGTTTGACTATTATTAAATCAGCAAATAAACACACCTATATAACTGGAAACAGATTGTGAAAGTCAAATAGTTACGTCAACAAATAATTGAGGAGTGGTGAAAATTGATCATTGTTTTGTTATAGCTAATGTATCGGTCAAATCGAAGCTTCAACATCCCCCAGGTAGGGGGGAATTTGAACAATAATTTTCCAAAAAGTCAAATGCCCGGGGGTTTGCCCGGGGGGGATGTTGAAGCTTCGATTTGACCGATACATAACCATAGTGACTATGTTACAGATCCCAGTTAATGTGTCAAGCATTCCTGCTGTACGATACCACCCTGTGAGAGTAGGCATATCCGATGCATATGTAAGATATTACCGACATTTAGGGAGGCCTGGAATCATCTACCGAGTCTTTCATATATACAGTCAAGTGAATATTACCAAGAACAGTGTTGTCAATGGATCAGCAGTGGTGTTCTACCCTCAAACAAGTTTGTTCTTTTTAAAAGTTTTATTACTGTAATCTAATAATTTTTAGCTGTTAATGACCGAGCGGGAGGTCTTTATGGGAGAATCTTGACGGAGGTTACCAGTACAGACCGAACACCGTGAGGTCTGTACCAGCGACCGAGGTCAAGATTCTCCCATACAGACCGACCTAGCTCGTTAAGAAGATGTTTATTATATGGCCAAACAAGAAAGCAAAGGAACAAAAACATAAATAATTTTATTTGCTTCCCTGCGCGGGCTCAAGCATTTAGCTGGCTTTCTTCTGTCACTGGTCTCCAGTCCAAACGGAACAAAAATAGCTGTTTAAAGTCCAGCTTTGTACAAACTTTGTACAAACAAGACAATCTTTCATATTCTTTGTTTGTAACTTTTTGAGGAGAACTGTTACAACAAGATCGGTTTAGATGCCGGTCTGGATGGGAGAAACTAAACCGCGGTCAAGATCGAATTCTTGAGTTTGTTTCTTTCCAGTCCTTTTGAGACATGCCCATATAATAATAAGTGATACAGTGCAGTCCTAATTTGTTTATGCAAGAAGTAAAATATAATTTGCAAGCCATTTCCTGACCAATATACTGATTATATCTAAAGCTTTCCTGGCAACCCAGTCTTGTGAGCTTTAATTTTGATAAAAAATTTGGTTTTCAGACTGTGTGAGTAACCTGCAGCTTAACCTTGGGTTCCATGCTGTGTGGGTAAACTGTGACTGACGTAATTGTTTTCATTATACTGTACTTTCCTTTCAGGCTGTGTTAATGCCACCTCATGTACAGAGTGTATGAAGCGGAAGCAAACAACAGAATTTGACTGTCAGTGGTGCCCGCAGACTAAAAGGTAGAAATTGTCTTTGGAAAGCTAAAATTGTTAATTCAGAGCCGACTAAAAAGATGTTTCACCTGAAGAGAATACAGTCCCAGAGATTGACAGTGCAGACCATTTTTGTTTTTTATCGTGCATGGATGTGTCACTTCTCAAACCTATAGAAGAGTAAAGAAATGGATAGCAAGTATTTACTGGCAGCAGCAGGCATGTGCTGCAAGAGCATGACTGTCACGTAAACTTGGGTCATGGCCATGTATCCCTTGGAAAACTGCTTTTTGGCGGGAAACTGGCCCGGTTCAGAGGCTGTACTTAACATCAGCCGAATCAACGCCGGCGGTCCACAGCTCTTTTAGTTGAATCCTATTTGGCTGATCATATGATGCACGTCGTCTGAACCAGGACTAAGATCACGTGGTCCATAGTACCATTCACTATTTCCTTTTGATATAACAAACATGATCTAAGACTTCTAAACAGTCTGTCAGTCAAACTAATTTCTATTGGTGGTTTAAGTTGACATTGTTAATTACAATGGTCACTGTTAAGCTTTAATAACCCTAAGTCCAATGTAGATGCAGGCCACGTTCTTACAATAATCTTGCAATATTTTGAAGGTGCTCTGATAAAACAGATCGTAATCGTGCAGAATGGGACCTCAGTAGGTGCAGTCAAAATGCCGTCAAGCAGGTATTAATACTAGTTAAAACTTGTTACACTGCCACCAAAATGCCGACAAACAGATTGAGATATTACGACTGTTACGAGTTAAACCATGTTAAACTGCGACCTAAATGCTGTCAAACAGTTTTTCCTGCTACCGTCATTTAGCTCCGTTTTCCTTGTGACAAGTTTTATACCTCCCTCTAGAAGCTTAGCCTGTAATAGGCGGACATCTACACAGCCTCCCTTGTATATTTTTGTATTTTGTTTGTCCATTCTGTTTTGTGCGTTTGTATGTCGTCTTAATAGAGGTGTTTTCTTTAAATTACATGTACACGTTGGTTTTTGGTTTATCGGAGGGACTTGTACAAAGGCGTTTGCCCTTAAATACAGAGTGAGCCGGCACTGAAGACAGGTTTCACTATACGTAGCGGGCCCGAAGGCCACATGGCAAACAGCCTGTACATACTTGCGGGACTCGAAAAACTTCCGACCGTTAGTCCGGTAAGAGTAGATTTTCGTGCTGGGCAGGTGACTTTTAAAGCTCCACACCTTCCCAGTGGGCAAAAATCCAGGCAGGTTAGTAGTCTACTATGTTGGAAATTAAGCCCCGTTGGTGGATAGGTAAGGATAGTTTAGGGATAGGTAAATCATTGATGTGCATAAGTACCTAGTCTATGACGTCACCTCGGAAAGAAGTGCCTTCCTCCATACTAATTAAGTGCCTAGTCACTGCCTTCGGGCATACTAATTTGGATTTCCTGCATACTGATTAAGTGCCTTCCTCCATATATGATGAAGTGGATAGGTTTACTAATGAGCGTCACTCTACTACAATAGGAACAATAGGCTTGCCTAGACTTGCCCGGTAAGTAACTTGATTAAAAGGAAAATAGGAGCGATCACCTAGCAACGCGAGAAACGGCTTCCTGTGTCTTATTTAGCTCTGAAACTCGGATATATCAACAAAACATACACAAAGGGGAGCTGAAAACGCTTTATTTGAAGTTTGTCTGACAATACGGGGCTTAATTCCCAACATAGTAGACTACTCAGGTTATCCTTCCGCAACTAAATCATTCGCTAAAACAATCAAGACTAACAGGCCCCGGGCAACTTAGCAAAATGCCGCCGGGAGAGCTGGCTGCTTAAAGGACGTGCTGAAAGTCAAGTTTGTTTCTTTAATATGGCCCTTTCCTCGAGTATAATTTGTGTACTGTTGTGTTCATTTGTTTTTTGATATCAGCCGTCAGATGAGAGATGCGTGGCAGGTACGGAACAAGAAAAGCAACAGCAAAAATCCAAGGGAGGTCTAGGAGCAAAAACACCCAAGGGAGGTGTAGGAGCTGGGGCCATTGTTGGCATCTGTATTGTATTATTGTTGATCATTGGTATGGCAGCATGGTGTGTGTATGCTTATCGCAATCCAACCACCAAATCAGGACTCTTCCTTATTGATGTAAGTGCCACACGGCTGTTTGGTGTCTGGTACGTAGTCAACTTTGACCTGAACCACAGCTCTGGATTGAGTCAGTTTTGTTTGTTCTCTTATTTTATCTTAGTGTGTATTCATTTGTTGTAATCATAATCTTTCGTCTACTCTCTAAGATATACATGCAGGTATAATTATATCTTGTGTTACATATTGCTTGTGATAGTTACCAACAATAGCAACTGAACAATATTGTGTTATTCCAGGCTACTCGGCGTCCAAGGGAGCTGTTCCACCGCAGTGCTGATGGAGCCAGTAAAGCAGCTCCTTCTGATGTTAAGCCGCAGGTGCTGTGAGGGAGGGAGCGGGGACGGACATACCTTCAGCCAAAAATAACTTTGATGATATCACGATTAGCAACTTAATAACGTAGCGTTCAGGGGAGTGTTTTTTTGTTGTTGTTAGAGGTCTGTACTCTTTATTCTTCCCCTGAGCCTCAGTCTTCATTTCTTTCATTTAGTTCCGCTTTATTTCTCAGGCCAAATAAATTATTGTAATCCTAGTTGCTAAGCATGAATTCAAATGTTGTGTTGCGAGGGGTTCTCCTTTTCGTGACATAAAACCTGGCAAACTATCGCAGCTCTTCGTCGCAAAAATAGATCATTGAAGAAGAAAATGAAGTTATCGTACTCCAAGCCTCCATGTATTACGTATTTACCATTTACAATTTCGACTGCTACTGCAGCTTATAGAGTGTTTTCACATGACGTCATGGCGGCCGTATTGGTGTCCCAAAACAATGAAACGGCGGCCGGTTTGGTGTCCCAAACCAATCGTCTGGGAGTTGTTCTCTTTTCGTATGCAAACGCTTTCTATTCCAATAAATTTGCATAGATGCTGGCCACGTCAGTGAAAACACTCTATAGAAATATTAACACACCAAGGTAAAGAATGTTTGTCTTTTTTCTTGTGAATTGCGGGCGGATGTGGCTTCATTTTCCTGACTGCTGCTAGTATTTGCTTTGCTTTTGCAGCTGTAGTAGTTGTAGAAGCCGAGGTTAAGTATTGGAATGGACTTCAATTCACTATGAAGATCAGTAACAAAATTTTAAAGTGCCAAAAGGTATGACGACATTAACAAAGTTCAGCTTTATCACATGTGTTTTGCTGGATGATGACAGCAACAGCCAGTCCTATAGACCTAGTCTATTTACGTTAAAAACCTTAACGTTAAAGAAGCGAAAGTACAGCTGAAAGTAAGCCTCTGCTAAGTTGTTAAATAATTTTGTAAATATTTAAAAGCCAGGGCAATGTCGTGTTAACTTCTATTTAACGCGGAAATTTGATGTCCAAAGCAAAGGACTGTGTGTTCTTTAGAAAGTAATTGTTACAAGTATGATAATGATATTGATGATGGCGATGGTGATGATGATGATGATGATGATGATAAAGCACCACAAGAAAGTAGCGCTCCATAGCACTTCAATTGAATCAAACTAAATGTATATAAGTTTTGCAACGTTTTTTACCCACATAAAATTAGTCACTTATTTTAACTACAGAAATAATATAAATCGTTATGATGTGTTGACACGTTAATAAATCCTGCTTCTCTATGCATTTGTTGTTGTTTTGATGCCAAGAAAGTCATTCATAGTCCAAACCAGAAGTCAATTCAGTCATGATGCTTCTTCCTAAAGCTCAGTAGTCAAAACGCCTGAACAAGTCATAAGAACTGATATTCACGTGTTACTCATGAAAATGATTATACAATCCCCTTAATACCTTGCAATTCAACTCTTTGACTATGTGACTAGCAGATGGGTATGGGTATATCTAAACCAGGGTTTTGCCGTAATTCTCATCCACGCTTACATTCGTTTTAAGCTTGACTACTATAAGTCCCTTCGGTATGGTATTCCCAAATTACAGCGTTTACGGAACACGGGAGCTCACATTGTCACGTTAACAAGGAAATATGATTCTATTACCCCAATAATGTTGAAGCTATACTGGCTACCTGTACAATCCCGCATTATTCTTAAAGCTAATTGTTATTAGTCTTAAAGCACGCAACCGCAAAGCACCTTATATTTCCAGTCTTCTGAGTCATCAAAGGTTCTCTTAGTCATTACGTAGAACTGCTCACTGTGCCACTGGCTAACTGAACTTAAGACTTCTGCAGACCGGGCGTTCAGCACTGCTGCGACAAGCCTATGGAATAACGTGCCTATCTCCATCAATAGCTATTTTTTAAAAACATTTGAAAAATTATCTTTTTAAAGAAGCCTACGACTTTTAACTATTATTTCTAGTACATATATTTACATGTTAGTTATCTGTAAATCTATCTTAGTATGTTTTTGGATTATAGATTTTTAACCTTTATTTCTTCGACATATATTTCTAAGCTTTGTAATTAATTTACCTCGGTATCTTTTTGGCTTTTAGTTTTAACGTTGGCATAATCATTGTAAAGCGCTATGAACGAGTAGCTGAAACTGAGCGCGATATAAATTATTTATTATTGTTGTTGTTGTATGGCTGGATTGGAGCCTCCTTTAGTGCATCCGGCATAGCTCGGTTGGTAAGGCTAGAAGGTCTACTCTCTTTGCCAGAAGTTGCGTCACTGCTTACTGAGCGTTAGGTCCGGCTGCCGCACGGAACTGATCAGGATGGATGTAACATGGTGGCAACTAGGGTAGATATTGGTTTAGTTGTGTAACTTCAGTTATGTCATTGTTATGAAAAAAAATAAATAAATAAAAGCAGAGACTTCTGTTTTGCTTGTTATAAAAGTTTTAAAAGCCTCCAGTCCAATTTATAATCTCATGGACACTTGAATAAGAATGGTCAGGGGGTGGGGGTTAAGTAGTTTGTCACGAACAAGTTCACACAACCATGAAACTGTTGGCAGAATCTTCAATTATTTTTGACGACTTAGCTCTTTCATGGCAACTAATTACAAGTTATGTTTACAATGAAGATCCAGTCAAGCATTAAACCTTATGTGAATGACTATGCAAATATCTAAAGGAAACAATCAAGGCATATCCAAAATTCGTGACTTTATAGAATCGGCTGAATCTCTTGGCCATGATCAATCTTACGGTTTAAACATCCATTTGCATTATATTTTGTCCAACCTTTCCCCTACATGGTTCGCACAATCGAAGGTTTTCGACATCAGTTTGCTAGACTTGCAACAGCGTTAGCTATTTTAACTAGCACAAGCTGCCAAGGTAAGGACTCCCAATAATCATAACTTCTGTTATATTCCTTAATGCAAAACGGAGCTTTTTATATGGAGGTTGTTGCCAGTACAATAATAATAAAAGCCTCGTGACGAGGAAGTAATGAGATCAACTCATAATAATAATAATAAAATAATAATAATAAAATATTTATATAGCGCTTATACTTTTTACATATCCACTCAGTGGATATGTGCGAAATACCTCAGGTTAGAAGCTGTTGTATACCCTGAAAACTGAGGTCTGTCTAATGATAGCCCGTTTATTATACTGTGCTACTGGATGTAACATAAAACGTAGAAACCTTTATTTATAACACACATGCACAAAGCATACAGTGAACAGGTCATGCAATGGACTTGTTGAACTAGCAACTGTCGCGGAAACTAAGCGATGTTTCGGAGAATGAGTTTAAAGCATCGAAACAAACATATGCTGCGAAAACTGTAATATGAAAGAAGTGTTTCGAAGTCTAGCCACATTGAAGAAACAATATTTCAAGTGAAAGTTTTCTGGCGAATAATACAGATGAAAAGTCCTTCAACTTCGTCGTTTTCTGTGAGATTAATCAGCTTGTGAACTACTGTAATTTGGCTCGATCACTACCAACAGTACCAAGGCTAATTCTAACAATAGCGACCTTTAGCAATGAAGACGAGAACGAGGACTGGTATGACCGATTGGGGCCTGGAACGAGAACGTCGTCCACGGCGGTATTTCGGCTTATATTTCGGCGGGAAACAAAAACATTTAGCAAACCGGTTACGGTACGTGGACGAGTCTCTTCCTACAGTGAAAGTCACCAGGAAAAATGTCTTTCAAAGAATTTCGTGACCTCCTTGTACTTCTCTACGGCGATGAAATTATTTCCGATGAAGAGTTTTTGCTACTTTACGATAGTTTCATCTCAAAGAATCCAGTTTTTCCCCATGAAAACTATCAACGGTTTGATGTGGATTCTATGAACTCCGCGGAGTGCAAAGCAGAGTTTCGTGTCGAGAAACACGATCTCCCTCGCCTTGTTGCAGCCCTCCAACTACCACCGGTGTTTAAATGCGAGCAGAGGAGTATTTGCGACGACATGGAAGGCCTATGCATACTCCTCAAACGAGTTGCCTACCCATGCAGACTCAGTGATCTGATTCCGCGATTTGGCCGACCGGTTTCTGTTTTAAGCCTGATCTCAAATGATGTCATCGACTATATTTATGACGTTCATGGGCACCGTATAACACAATGGAATCGAGATCTTCTGAATCCTGGGGCTTTGCAGCGTTATGCAGAAGCTATATCGGGAAAAGGAGGCCCTCTTGACAACTGTTTCGGTTTTGTAGATGGAACAGTCCGACCCATCTCAAGACCAAATGAGCGTCAGAGAATTGTGTACAATGGCCACAAGAGGGTCCATGCATTAAAATTCCAATCCTTGTCCCTACCAAATGGACTTATTGGCAACCTATTTGGACCAGTTGGTGAGTTTGTAATAAAACGTTAGTGTTTTAAACTTAAATAACCTTCTCCCCTCCCCCCCCCCGAAAAAAAATTCTCTTCTCATGTTTGATTTTAATTTCGTTTCTAGAGGGGCGTAAACACGACGCAGGGATGTTAAATGATTCTGGACTACTGCGGGACCTTCAACAGTATGCCTATAATCCAGCAGCTCAAGCTATGTGCATTTATGGAGATTTGGCCTACCCTCTCCGAGTTCATCTCCAAACACCGTTCCGTCGTGTCCCACTTACACCCCTCATGCAGGATTACAACGAGGCTATGAGCGCTTTACGGATTTCTGTAGAATGGTTATTCGGTGACGTCATTAATTCTTTTAAATTTCTTGACTATAAAAAGAATTTGAAGATAGCCCTTAGCAGCGTCGGTAAAATGTATGTTGTCTGCGCACTTCTCCGTAACGCCATTACATGCCTTTATGGTAATAACACCAGTGATTATTTTGGTATTGAACCCCCTTCCCTGGAACAATACTTTCAATGAATTGTAGTCTAGCTGTACTGATTTTGATGATGTATTTTCTCCTTCCTCGATCATATTCAGTGTAATGGAATGTAAAATATAGACTGTTGGAAAGAAGGAATTATACTTTAAAAAAGCACCTTCAATGTACAGGAAGAAAATAATAGAAAACGACACACATGCAAGTTTAATTTATGTGGTTGCTATGGGAATGCAAATGTCACAAAAAATTGATAATGGCACAAACAAATATTTCCAGATCAATTTGGTGCCTATAGATCAATCCATCAAAAAGTTAAAATATTCATTCAAAGAACTTCCACATCCCCCCCCCCTCCTTCATAGCCTAGGCTTAAAAGGAATATATAAATAATTCCAGAGCCGGACACTCAGCAATAAGATGCTAATGTGTCAAAAGAGTACTGAAAAGGGTATGTGTATTTTATTCTTATTTCAATGTTTTGCTCAACCTATGCTTAAATGTAAGAAAATGGAGCACATCATAACACTAACGTTCTAAAATTTCAAAGGACAGCTTAATTTAACCCTTTCACTCCCGGTGTCTAAACATCAATGTACTACTTTCTTTCTCACGACGATGTTTAAGACCATGTTCTTAATTACTCTGCCACCTATGAAGCAGCAATCACTCTTATGTGATGTTACTGCAAAGGTTTGCAGCATTTTATATCAGCCATGTGATAGTTAATTTGAAGTTTTAATTCATAACTTCCATATCCTTGTGAGTGAAAGGGTTTACTTAAGTTATCTTAGCTTCAACGATGTATCTTTGATCACTGTACACACTGCACTAAGAAAATTCCTTTCTCCAGAGGTGTAAACAACCCATCAACCTTTGAAGTCGAGGTGAGGAAAAACTAATCACCAAGCTGGACAGGCAAAGTCACCAGAAAAAAAAAAGAGACAAAATTATAGTTGGAAAATAATCAGTTAAAAATTATGATAACAACAACATGGCTCTAAAGGGCTGAAAGGGCCAAAGGTTGACAATTTGATTTTCAACTTTTGTTTTGCCTTTGCCAGCTCTTATGAGGATTTGGGCATTACTTTTTCAAGTAAACTCATTAACATTTGACTCTGTTGTTGTTGCTGCTGCAGGAAAAGCATTTGAAAGATGTGTAGCTGCTGCTCGTGCCTCTGCTGCTGTTCAGCCATCATCTTCATTACATCCTGGTACTGTTGTAGACTGCAAAACAGTCCGTATTTTTGCGTATTCAAGTACGCGCGAGCAGTCAAACAAAAGTCTGGAACGAAGCTGAAATCAGAGAGCGAGACTGGGGAGAGACGCTAAAAATACGGACTGTCCGTTTTGCATACGTGATATTCGTTCGAATTACCCGCTTCTCCCAGCCACGGGTAATTCCCATTGGCTAAATTTCGATGCAAGCTGTCACCAAGCTGTCAAGTAATGTTTTCAACAAGTCATTCGCGATATTCCCTACCTTGATGAATTTCTGAAGCTTTCGCTGTAAAATGACGGATATTGATCGCCTGGATTTGCTCGCAAAGAATTGGGATTTGTTTTAAAATCGGAGCAGAGGGAAGCTTTGGAGTTGCTGCTCAGGGGAAAGGATGTTTTCCGTGTTCTACCAACAGGATTTGAGAAAAGCCTCATTTATCAGATGTTTGTTCATGCAAAGAGTTCTTCAAGTTCCGTGCAACGGCCGACCGTCATTGTTATCTCGCCTGGGTAAAAAGGGGGCATCGGTAGGAAACACACTACTCAGTTTACCTCATGCAAAAATGCTTCTTGTTCCATTGAATTGTTTTCTCTGTCGAGTAGATTTTGCTTTGGAGGAAAACGTTTTCACTGAGCAAATGTGAGTTTTGGCCGCTTATTAAATATATTTCATACTGAGAGGTCGTGACACGCATTGACTATTTTCCAATTGCCCATAATACACTCTGTTTGCCCCCCAAATTTTGCATAACTTATTGTCTTAAAATGCTCTTGGGAAAATACAATACTGCCAGGAGCATTTAAAAACAATGGTTTATGCAGAATTTGGGGGGCAAACAGAGTGTATTATGGGCAATTGGAAAATAGAGAATACTGATTTTCTCTGGTCAGCATGAATTTCCTCTCTGATGCAAGAGCATTTTCTTTCTTGGCCCCTTTAGAAATGTCAAGCTCTTCATTGCGGCTGATTAAGGGTTTTAGGTTGTTTTATTTCTCCAAAGTGCCTCCTGGATTTGAATAATTTTAAGCGATTTTCTTTGTGTCCGTGAATGTGACTTTTTCCTGCAATGTTTTGTCACGCTGGGCCCAGCTCGTTAGCGTTTTTAGCAGGATTTTAAATTCTCACAGATAGTGATTTACAGAGCTAAATCACCAAGACGTGGATTGGAATGAGGGGACGTACTCATTCTTTTCAGTCGCAATAATTGTTCATTGTCAGTTGGCGTGTTCAGTTCTTCTCTAATTTGCGAAAGCATCGCCGTGCAGTTTCACGGGAATCCCGGGGCAGTTTCTAACCTTTGTTCCGCAAGGAGAGCAAACTCTTGTGGAGAAAGATTCTCGATCCTTCCTCGAGGACAACGAAAAGTTCGTTTTTCAGTAGGTCGGCCCACTTTGGTAACGTTTCTCCTTTTCTGGTAGGCGCAATAAAAACATTTTCCGAGCTTATCCATCCACTCGCAAAATTGCCGAACTGTATTTGAAACAACCGCCGCACATTCTACAATTTATCCGAAGCGCTCGGCTCTTTCGGCTTTCTCCCTCTCCGAGCAGCAGGCACAGGCTTTGTTGTCGTACTGCCACCTCCACTATATATACTACATTTCACTATATACACTACATTTCACAGAGAAGCAACGCTAAAAACTGTTTAGAATTACTGGATTACAGCGTCAAGATTCGAAGTAAAGTGCAGACAATAACACGCGCTATTCTCCCTCGAAACCAATCACCGAGTGTATCAAATTCACAAAGAGGGCGGAGCTGTGAACAGATTTTTGACAGCTCGACGACATTTTTGAACCCCCTGGTCGGAACGAACTCGTTGTATGCAAAACAGACAGTCGGTTTTTTTTCTCTCGCCTCACACGCCCTACGGGCGTGTGAGGCTCGCGCGCGTCGCGCGCGTATGCCTCTTACGCCACACTTTACCGATTTCTTTACTGATTTTGAGAAAAAAACCGACTGTTTTGCAGTCTAGTACTGTTGCTGGTTCTGCCTCTGCTGATCTATCAGCATTTGATGCTGAGCTGCTTTATTTTCTTGCTCTTTCTTCTTCAATTCCATTTCTTCCTTCCGGAATTCCTTCTCATTCTCAAATTTTTCTTTTAGAATTTGCACAGCTTCAGTGGTACTTCTTCTGCTTTTTAGTTTGATAACTTCATCACATGAATCAGCATTCCTCTTTTTTGTTTGGCCCAGGCGCTCCAAGGCCTTCAACCTACTTTCTTCGGCTGACGCCTTGTCGTTTTCATTCTTCTTGGTAAGAGTGTTAGTGTTTTCTTTCCTTTCTAAATCAGCTGCCTGTTCTTTTTCTATGATTTCAAACAATGCCATCTCCAATTCTGTTTCCTCGTCACATTTCATGCCAGAACCCTGCTCTTCGTTTCTCACCTTTTCTTTGTACTTCCTCAGCAAAAGAGTGAGCCTGTCCCTAACAGACCGCGTTCTTACAGTGAATTTGGGTACACTGAGCCCATTTAAGTTTTGTGCTATTTCTCCCCAGATTTCTCCTCTCTCTCTACTTTGCTTTGGGTGCTTGAATGGTTCCATGACAAGAACTTCTCTGCATAGCATGAGATCGTGCTCTTCTGACCACTTCATGTAATAATTTCTGAATATAAATAAAGTGCCAATAATTGCTGCGCAGCGACCGAAGGGAGCGAGCAGCAACATAATCAGGATTTAAAGGAAATATATAAGGGGCGACGAATTCTCGAATTCATCACTTTTTACCACAATGCATTGCATTTAACCAGAGTGCATTGCGCCACGAACAACTCAAATAAAAACACGGGAAAGTTCGGTAGGTGAGAGAGTGCATCGTTCGCTGCTCAGACTCAGGGTTTTCTTTGTGGCAAAGTTTCTACAGCACGGTTAGAGGTCTTATCAAATTTTAAGACACGCAGGAGTCTTTCAGATGAGTACGATGGTTAACTTGGGGATTGGATCTCAATTCAAGAGCCTTTGACTCGTCCAGGTGTTAAACCTGACGAGAAGATGAGCATTTGCTCTTCGACTCCGCAACACGGGGGATATACAAATTCCAGCTTGCTAGAAGGTAATGTGAAAGTGAGAAAATGTCATGCAATGCTATTCTTACGAAACTGTATGAGCCGAAAATGGATGTGATTTTGACCATTCGCTTCAAAATAACAGCGGAAATCGAGATAACAAAACATATATTTTGTGTCCTACTTTGCAGACGAGGACGTGTATCGGCGTTTTGAAAAGCATAATTATGTTCTTTCATTCATTCATTGCCATGGAATATGCGTTTACATTGTTTTTTCACTGTTAATAGCTCTGTTAATGCGGCTGGCGATCATCTTGCCGGCGGAAGTTTCATGGAAAAGGAATAAAATGAAAGACTTTTCCTTGGGACTTCGTAATCAGCCTCTGTGGTGCAGTGGTTAAGTGTAGTCGCGTGGAGTCGAAGGTGCCGGGCTCGAGTCCTATTGAATTATTAATTCCTTCTTACCTTTTTTTCCCGTTTTTTGTGTTGTTGTTTTCTATAAATATATAGTTAAATAACTGTTGCTTAATAAAGTGCAACAAACAGCAAGAAAAGTATTGTGTTTCCAGAGAAAATATCGTGCACCGCATATTAAATATATGGATAAACAATCTGAATTTCTATTATTTCCTAAAATTTACTGTGGGAAAACCAGAGTTGATAACCACTTGATCATTTTCTAAACAACGTTCCCACGAGTTCTTTCTATAGACTGATAGTAAGTATTCTAGTACTTTCCAACATGTAAATAGGACATTCGATGTCATTTTTGATTCTTTTAAGTCTCACTGCCTAACTAGTGCCAGTATCAACAGAATGTGCCGCAGCATTACTATCTTTTAGATACCCTAGTTATATTTTTACAGTCACTGTTAATACTGGTAAGCTTACAAACTTTTGATTCCATAGTAATTGCCTAAAACGATTTCTGTGCTGCAGTAAAAATTATTTGTAAATAAACTTTTTTTCTCGAGGTGAAAATCAGTACAGCGTAAAACATGACTGTAGAACGATTTAAAAAAATCTTCATGTGCAAAAATTAACGACTACAACAACTTGGCTTTGAGAGGGCTTTTATATCAGCAAAAAAGTGAGGTAAGTTTATTCAGAGTTTAGCTATAAAGGTGGATGCTTACCTCAAATGTATTTATACGAATAGCTTAGACTTTCAAAGACGAACAAAACTTCATAAAAATCCCGACAGGATTTTTACAAAACTGTGATCAAATGCGGTTTAAATAATACAACTTACATTTATAAAAACGCTTGAAACTTACCCTGATGTTCCTGCTGCATCCATCACTTCTTTGACCGAGTGCAGTTATACTCAGACTGTCAAATTTTTTCTGCAACATCGAAAAAATCGGGGTTTTTACTTCACAGCAACAGGAATAACTTACGGCTTCTGTCTTATCTACTAAGAAAAACCTTGGGATTCAAGAAATTGCAAAATTAAGTCAGAAAATACAAGAAAATAAGTCAAGCAATACTCACGTTCACCACAAGACGTCAAATGGCGGCAAATGGCGTCCTCAACGAGATGTGGACGACGAGCTCGTGCCCGTTTGGGCATGCGTGGTAGCATCATGGTTCGTTTTCCAACTTCCGGTAGTTGACGTTCACGCGCTCGTCGTTACTGCTAAAGGTCCCTAATGTTTCAGGGGCACCCAACGAGAATTTAGTTTTTTCTTTCTTGTGTGTGATTCCTCCGATGATTTACGCCCACTGCGTTTTATGGTTTTATTGTAACCGGTTGGCTCTCTCGATAGATCTCTATTAATTAAGGATAATAAAAGGATTAAACTAGTTGCTAGGGAACCACACCGGAATGAAGAAACACACCGTAACTAAGGTTGGTCAATTTTATTCAAATCGTTTCACATTCGTAGGGTTCAAAAACAATCCTTTTCCTCATAAAAATGTTTATCCCAGGCCCCGATATCCCTTTTGGTTCGAATACCCATATAGTTTAAAATAATTTGAGCTTGGAACACCTGTGGTATGTGTGGATTGCGTGCAAATTTAATTTTTCGGTTTTTTCTCTTTTGCATCACATTCATACCCAGGTTTTTAAATTATCCGACGAAGAACACGGCCGCACTGCAGCCTTATTGAGCATGAGTGCCGGGCTCGCCGGATGACCACAAAGAACAAGTGGCGGTACCGTCCATCTCCAGCTGGAAATCAAAATAAACTTCTCTTCCTATGGCATATGAAGCACATTTTTAATGTCTCCAAAATTTTTCGTTTTAGGATTTATCAATTTGGGAGCATCAACAAAGCGCCAGATAGCAAATTTCCAATTTGTGGCCCCATTAATGGCGTTCTTCAATCCCTCACTTAATGACACAAGTACTGTGCATTACTTTGGTGATAGTGAGTATCTATCTACCCACATATCTTTGATTTTCTTTGAAAGTAGGTTACTAGACCTTACTACATTGTTCTATTCCAAACGCAAGCTGTACGTCAGCCTTGTCTGTGCAACAAAACTTGAAAAACCAAAGCATCAACTTCCTTGAACTTATGACCGAAAAACTAACCAGTACAAACCAGTACTGTATATAACGTATATTGCAATATACTATAGTATCAGTGACACCAGTGAGTTAGTAAACTATGCCGTAAAGTCGGTAGCATGACTGCAGCGTACTTACGCGTTCCTTTTTATACACACCTGTATTGCGCGTATTTCTTCGGCTGAATTTGTTGAGTCTTGTGGTACACAGTTTCAGTAGCAACCATACCTTGAAAATTAGGGCTCCCAATGAAAACAGGAGAGTAAGCCTCCAACCTCTTTTAAGCCCCCATGATACTCCAAAGATAGGGCTAAATACAAGAACTGATACCGTAGCCGCTGTCTCCCCCTACAAGAAAGGAACACTACCTATAAGTATCTGATCATCATGTTATATAAGGCGTCTGTGCTACCGCTCTTTCATTATGGCACTTCTGTGCGCGAAAAATCGTGATAAACTACAGCTTTCAAATAAACGCATTTTGAAATTTATTGTTACTTATGCAAATTCTAGTTATGAAGAATTGCTAAACATGGCTAAGACAACATCGATATCCTTGTACAGTGGAAGAAATCACAAAATGCTTATTGTAGTGTTTAAAAGCTTACTTGTCTCTGCGTATCTTACGAGAAGCTGTTCTCTCTTTGCAGCTCTAAATATCTTTTGAGAGGGAATAATGTACCGAGTTTACCTGAACCTAAGACAACCACTTGTGGACTCGAGTCCATCAAGTACGAAGCTGCAAAGCTTTGGAACTCACTTAAAGACGACATGAGACAAATAATATCAATCGATGACTTTCAAAATTCCTTAAGAAATTTGAATTTTCATTAAAATTAGTTTCGTATGTTTTTTACTAACTTTAATAATTTTCAGTAAATTTTACTTCTGTTTTGCTCGGAAATATTAGCTCAAAAGAGCTACTTCAGTAAATTCGAATTCAAATAATGTTTATGTATGTATTTGTATGTATGTATGTTCCTAACTAAGATAAAATTTATCATTCGAGCTGCCAGACGTAGTTTATTTACAAGGACTATGTAAAAAACAGGAGGCCATTCAAGATAAAAAAATATTTTTCCATCAAGAAATGAGACCTTGACCTATCAAAAGACGAAAAAAAGAAAAACAAGCGTTACTCTTATCAACTTAAGGACACCTGTGTTGGAATTTTGTTGTGCCCTCGCGGCGAGAGAAGTGCCAGGTTTTGTACGTTCCTCCTTATCCTAACTTGGATGCTTGTTTGCTTCTCTGTTGTAGGACAAACATTTATTGTACAGTGGTCTAACATTCTTCTACATGAAAATCCTCAAGGTAAAAGCGTCATTTTGTGAAAGAAAAATGCAAAGCTTAAAAGGTTTTTTTTTAATTTCATGTTTGCTTCATTTCAGCCGGTGGTTTCACCTTTCAGTGTACGCTTAATAAAACAGGTGAAATTGTCTTCTCTTATCACCAGGTAAAATTCATTATATTTTACATTTACTGTGAATTAATCGTGTAAACATAACAACTTTCTTTAATTTTCCAGACATGTTTCGACGGTACATCCGTCATCTTCAGTGTTACATATTTTGAAATCGCCGTTGAACTTAAAGCGCGCGCGATCTTACAAAGTTCGTTACATTGCGTTGTCAATATTGCGTGCCAAAACAAAGTTAAATGAGTGACGCTTCGTTCTTTACAGGGAGAGAGTCAGGTTAATGTGTTTCACCTGCTGGTTGAGATCTTTAAAATCCCTTACGTTGGGCACTTGTCAGTCACGCACAGAGGAGTATACGCAAACTTGCTAACCGGTTATGTAAACCTATTGATTTAAGGTTAGTCTTTACTACTTTCAAAGTCAGGAATCTTTTTATTGTGAAAGATGCTGTCCCTGAGGGGCTACGCACGCGTGTGGTCTATAAATTTTCGTGTGCAAGTTGTAATGCTTGTTATGTTGGTGAAACCAACCGACACTTCTCCACACGAGTGCGCAAGCACTTACTTTCAGATAGGTCTTCGAACGTTTTTAAACATCTGCAGGGTTCAGAGTTTTGTAGAGCATCCTGCACACCGGATTGCTTCGAGATCCTAGACTCTGCAGCCACTAAGTACCAAGTGAAGCTTAAGGAATCCATGTTTATAAAATGGGAGAAGCCCGATCTCAACCAGCAGGTGAAACACATTAACCTGACTCTCTCCCTGTAAAGAACTAAGCGTCACTCATTAAACTTTGTTTTAGCACGCAATATTGACAACGCAATGTAACGAACTTTGTAAGATCGCGCGCGCTTTAAATTCAACGGCGATTTAAAATATGTAACACTGAAGATGACGGATGTACCGTCGAAACATGTCTGGAAAATTAAAGAAAGTTGTTATGTTTATACGACTATCTATATTGTTGCTGCTATCTAGACACTGTGAATTAAGGTTTGAACTCAGGAGTCATTTCATAGTTCGTTAACCGATATCAATGTACTATATTCAAACTCGGTTCAAGAATTAAAATAACTGGTTAACATGAGTCATCTATGCAATATTTAGCTCCGTGTAAGACATACGTTGTAGCGTCCACTCATAGCTACTTGAAACTGTAGTTTAATCAGTTGTTCACTTGCTAGTTCGTTTCTAATCTGCACATAACTTGTATTCATTCCATTCACAAATTGCTATCAGGAAAGGTTTGCTCGACCAAGCCCTTTGGCCACTGACCCCGTGGCAAATTCTTGTCTGCAAGCCACACTAAATCTCCTACTATAAAGTTTGGCTTAGGTTGTAACCACTTCTGGCGTTCTTGGAGCGTTGGCAGATATTCCCTTGTCCACCTCTGCCAAAATTCATTTGCGAGAAGATGAACGTGCTTCCATCTGGCTTTGAATCGATCTGACTCCTCGAATAAATCTGGGGATGAAGACGGGTTTCGGCGCAACAGAAGGATATGGTTCGGCGTCAGTGCTTCCAAATCCTTTGGATCATCAGAGACCGGCGTGATTGGCCTGTCATTCAAAATCTTCTCTACTTCAATGAGGAATGTTCTCAGGGTTTTTTCGTCTACGAGGCGTTCTCCCACCATAGAATAAAGGATCCTTCTGATAGACCGTATAAGTCTCTCCCATACGCCGCCTTGGTGACTGGCCGCGGGTGGGTTAAATTTCCACTCAATTCCTCTCCTGGTCAACTTCAACTGAATCTTCTCCTGATCCCACACCTTTAAAGCGTTGACGACGTCCAATTCAGCTCCTCTAAAATTAGTACCGTTGTCACTATAGATAATACCTGGGGGGCCTCTTCTACCAACGAAGCGCAAAACGGCATTGATAAAACTGTCAGTGGAGAGGTTGTTAACTAACTCTATGTGAACTGCTCGATATCTTAAGCAAGTGAAGATGCAGCCGTAACGTTTGTTCAGAGAAGGGTCTCTCCTTGATCTTGTGTTAGGTCCTATCTTCACGTAGAGGGGCCCGAAGTAATCCAACCCAACTGCAGCAAATGGATATACGAGCCTGTGACTGTCCGAAGACACTCTAACAACTGGAAGTGGTCCTGTCACTTGTTCTCCTAACTTGGCGTTCTGACGTTTGCACACATGACACTTGCCAAGAACTTGCTTTATCGTGGAAACTGCATTCACGATCCAATAGCGCTGCCTAATTTCGGCCAGAACTTGATAGGTTCCTACGTGTCCATTCAAGTGATGACAGTGGCGAATTATCAACTCAGACACGGGGTGCTTTGCTGGCAGTATCATCGGGTGATTGGCATCATATGGCAAACTCGAGTGATTCAATCTTCCGCCGACACGTATGATTCGTTCATCTTCGGATGGCTTAAGTCTGGCTAGTCAGCCTTTGATGACTGTTTCACTTTTCTCATCAGCAAATGACTGTTCCTGGACGAACTTCACAATTTTCTTCTCCGCTTTGTCCCCGTCATGGATCGATAAGGTTTTAGGACTATACTTCACACTTTTATCTTTGTCGTTCTGGCACTGGGACTGCATCGGTCTGTTGAAGGCTCTACATAACCACCCAACTATTCTCCTCAATCGATCCCACGACGAATATCGTTGGAACAAAATGCTCCAGAAATCCGCATGAACTGTGGATGCTCCAACAGTGACTTTCTCCTTTTTCACTCCTTCGTCTGTATCTAGGAGGTCTCCCAATTCCTCTGGAGGCTGCGGGGGCCAATCTTCAACTTCTCTCCACAAGAATTCTGGACCACGGCGCCACCTTTCCAGTTTTCCGGTCTCCGAGGCCTTGATCCCTCGGGAAGCATAATCCGCAGGATTGAGCTCTGATCGTACATGCCGCCACTGCCCTGGATCTGATTCTTGACGTATGACAGCTACCCGGGTTGCGACGAAGGTTACAAAGCTTCGTACTTCATTGGCAATGTACTTGAGAACTATCATAGAGTCATTCCAGTAAGTCACACTGTTAATCTTCAGTCTTCCCTTCTAACTCTCTCGTTATGACCTTGTTGACTTTCGTTGCTAGAGTAGCCGCTGTCAACTCCAGCTTTGGTACTGTTACAGCACTTTTCAAGGGTTTCACGCGAGACTTCCCCATTACGAAACAGCAATGAATTTGCCCCTGACTGTTAACAAGACGTAAATAAGAGGCTGTCCCATAACCATGCTCTTGGGATGCGTCGGCGAAATGATGAAGCTCTACATGTTTCACTTCACCCAAGTCCTTTGGCTTAAAACATCGAGGAATACTGAATCCTTGCAAGCTCATAAGCCCTTCTCTCCAACTCTTCCAACGTTCACACAATTCTCTTGGGAGCTTCTCATTCCAATCCAACTTTAGTTTGCACAATTCCTGATTCATTTCTCTTCCAGGTAAGAGTAGGGGGCTGGCCAATCCGAGCGGGTCATACACCGTTGCAATAGATGATAAGACACCTTTCCGATTCTCTGGACGCTCCTTGTCATTCACAACAAAGTCAATGGTGTCATGTTCAACATTCCAGTGGATTCCTAGTGCTCCATCTATAGGCAAACTTTCTGATTTCAAATCTAAACTCTTAATGGTGAGTGCTCTTTCCTCCACCGGGAACGCTGACAACACGCTGCGAGAACTGGAAATCCATTTTGTCAATTCAAAGCCTCCTCTCGCAAGTAACTCCTGGAGCTGCTTACTGACTTGTACTGCGCGTTCTGAATCAGCAAAGGATTTAAGCAAGTCATCTACGTACAAATCCTTAAGCACGGCGTCAACTGCCTCTTGGGAGAAGTCTTTCTCAGGGCGTATCCTGCTACGCTCGGCGAGGACTTTGCTCCAAAAATGTGCACGAGCATTTGGTAAGTCTTCTTTCCCTTTGACAGGTCACCATTCGGCCACCATAAATAACACAACGCTCCACGATCTTCTGGCGCTACGAAGACCTGGTGAAACATTCTCTTAATATCTGCCGTAACTGCAACGTCATCTACTCGGAATCTCAGGATCACTCCTATCAGGGTGCTGGTGTTTTCTGGGCCTCTCAAAAGTTGCTCATTCAAAGACGTTCCACCACTCCTTGAGGCACAATCAAACACTACCCGCGGTTCTTCGGGTTTTCTAGGATGCCACACCGCGTGATGAGGAAGGTACCATAGCGGCTTAAGCACTGGGACTTCGTCATCAGGTACCCGTCGTGATGCTCCCTCGGTCAGGTACTTGTCCGTTACGCCACTGTACTTTCGGTGGAAAACTGGATCCTTCCGCATCTTTCTCTCTAGCCAACTTAACCTGCTTGTGGCCGTCGAAAGACTCTCAGGAAGGTCAGGCTTCTCTTGGCGAAAAGGAAGCTTAAGCTGATAGTGTCCGTTCATGAAGGTCACTGACTGATCCATAAGTTCCTGTGCTTTACGGTCCTCAACAGACATGCCTTCCTCAGCATTGGCATCAGCTTCAACAAATTCCTCATCATACATGCGCTCTAGCTCAACGCTTAAGCTATCTTGGCCGGTGCGAGTAAAGTTTATGTGAACACGGTCCTTAACGGTTTCTCCAATCGGGCCGTGGACTGTCCACCCAAGGGGCGTCCTCACTGCAACAGGTTCGCCTTGGTCTCTTTCTTTCCGATCTAACTGCTTGTCAATCAGGTCTGGGCGATCGTTTCCTATCAAAATTGCCACTTTCTTATCTCCTGTTTCGGGTAAGCTAACGTCACAAAGATGAGGCCAACGCTTAATATCCTCGTTTGTGACCATTTGTCGTGCTGAAACGGGAAGATTGCTTGTAGTCAAGACGTTTTTCGAGTCGGAACTTTGCATCTCCTTCTAACGATTCAATTTCTAACTGGACTTCATGACCATGTCTTCGCTCCCCGTCCGCACAGTTGGTGGTGGTCATAGTATAGCTGATTGGCTTCATATCCGTTACACCTATTTCACGCGTCAAACTATCTAGACAGAGCGAGGCGTCTGAACCGCTGTCTAGGAAAGCGTGTGTTATGATCTCTCTGGTGCCTCCCGGACATCTAATCTTGACTGGAACTACCTTAAAGCATACTCTGGGTCTGCCCGCTTCGAGCGCAGCAACCGTCACCAGATCCTGTTCCCTTGCACTTGCCATCGAAGGGCTGCTATCCTTCGTGTTGGGCGCTTGCACATTGCTACTGTTCGCTGAACCTTCCACCGCATTGCTGCTGGGATTTCTAGGGTTCTTTTCATCAACGCTCTCCGACGGGAAATGTAGCAGGTAGTGGTGATCCTTGCCGCAACCTGATATTCGGCAGGTGAATCCCCTATCACATTGTTTCGCAGTATGTCCTTGGTCAAGACAAAGCTTACAAAGTCCACGTTTACGAACAGTCTTTAGACGGTCATTCAATGGGACACTTCTGAACTTTCGGCACCTCCAAACATTGTGAGGTCCGGAACACTGAGCAAACTTCCAAGGGGGCCTTGGTGATGTTTTCTGGCTTAGGCAGTTCTGGTCAGTTTGAGTCGCAAGGGTAGTAAACTTGGGAGGCGGACCCTTTATCTTGTTTGGTTCCTTTTTTTCTCGGTTACCATGGGAAGAGGACCCTAATTCTTGCCCGTATCTATTGTTTATACGATCTGCAACTCTTCGAACAAATTCAACAAAGTCCGCAAAGTCCGCTCGACCTTTTCGCTTGATGAGATCTCCTGCTTCATCCACCCACTTCCTTTTCAGGCCCTCATCAGGGAGCTTTCGCATCAACGAGATTATGACATTTTCGTTGTCTAACCGACTCACGTAGTTGTGACCCATACTGGTCAGGACCCTCCTGGCATCTTCCAGTCGCCTTACAAACTCCATGAGAGTCGTCGCATCTGCTTTCCGCACTTGAATTTCTCTCAGTTTCTTCATGTGGGCTTCTACTATCATGTGAGGCTGGCCAAAGTTCTCGCTAAGAGTTCTCCAGGCTTCTGTGTACCTTTCACCCACTGTCAAATTAACACAACTCCTAATTGCTTCTTTAGCTTTGCCTGAGCACTGAGCTAAAAGGCGTGTCAGTCTTTGAGACTCATGAGACACTTGGTTCTCAATATTGTCCCTAAAGTTCGTAACGAACTCCACATACTCCAAAGGGTCTCCACTGAATTTCATCAACTCTACTTTCGGTAAGGATGGCCCTTGCTTGATTGCTTCGGCAACTGCCACCCAAGGATCAGGTTGCATGCGTGACTGCGGACTAGCTCGCTGCTCAAAAGGAGGGGCTGAATAAATGTACGTTGATGTGGATTGCTGAGGAGTGTCGGGAGGATAGAACTCGGTTGCTGCTGCATCTAAACCTACTGTTCGTGGACTACAAGACCAAGTAGGCATTCCTGGTGATTGGTGCATCGACATTGGTGATGCCGCAACAGCTGTGGATGTTGCCCTTGGCAAATTAAAACGAGGTACATAACTGATAGGCGTGCTGAACTTAGTACAATTAACTGGAGCCTGGGTAGTTAAACTACTAGAACTCGTCTTGTGAATTGCAACTCTTCCTACGTTTGGACCAGAAGTCGTGACCGCTGACCCTGATGTTACGTAACTCGCAGTCACCAATGATGAAAGTGAAGTTTGGGCAATATCTTCTGCTGAAGATGTTTGCATTTTTCCATTATCAACAACTGGCTGGGATTCTGAAAAGGGTGTGGCACCACCCGTAACAGGCTGTGACAAATGCCCCTTCGCAGGAGGATAATTGGCACTATGCTCTTTTAAGTAATCATTCATCCCATCCTTCGCTTCATTCTCTTCGCCGCGCTCCAGCAATAAGTCAATTTCCGCCTGCTCCATCTTAGTTTTAGCACTCAACAGCTCTAATTTCCTGTTTAACTCTGCTTTACTTCTTTCTACTTCTTCTAATTTGCGTTCTAGTTCCTGCTTTTCCTTTAGGGTCTGCACTTCCAATTTAGCTTCTACTGCTACCCTTCTCTTCTCTTTAACACTGCTTCTATTTGACACACAACTTCTCTCGCTCCCGTCAGACCCATGGCTCAATCCAGATTCAGAAGGAGGGGTACCTACTCCCTTTTTCCTCCACTGATTTATGAGGATTTCTAACTGTAATTTCATTTCTCGTTCATTCTGATAACTGTCAATAATAAATTGTTTTTTCTCTTCATCATCTTCAAAGCTGAAGTAGTTATCATGACTGACAACAAAGTTACGAAATGCTTCTTCATACCTGTAAATCTCTGCTTCCACTCCACTTATCTGTGTGCTAGGGCTTAAAATCAATTCTTGTACACAATTTCGCCGTTTCCGCAGTTCTCCAAGATACCAGTTTCGCTGACGCTTCGCATGAACCGCTTTCTCGACTCGAACTTCCAATTCATCTATTCTTTTGTTCGGCTCCCTTAATCTAACAGGCCTGGAACTACTGCCTTGTTCTACCGGATCCTCGCCATAGAAACCAAATTCCACGTTTCCACTCGTTAATGATGGCCCTACTTGCTCTAATCCACCATTCTCATCACCTTGGAACGTGCGCTGAGGCGATTTCTCTGTTGGCGCCGAATCGGGAACATTTTCCTTCTGAGGAGTCACGTGAGTCGCTGCTTGCTCGTGTCCACCTTTCTTAGCACCACTTTTCGATTTCTTGCTCTTCGAATTCTTGCCAGTCATTCCGTTCCTTTAACCACAGTACTGCTTGAAATCAATAACTTCGAATGATGTAGCGTCCACTCATAGCTACTTGAAACTGTAGTTTAATCAGTTGTTCACTTGCTAGTTCGTTTCTAATCTGCACATAACTTGTATTCATTCCATTCACAAATTGCACGTGAAAGAGAAAGATTCGCTGAAATAACAACAACGCGACTATTACAAAGATGATATTGACCGAATAACCGAAAATACTGCATACTTACAAGTTATTGTGCCTTCTTAATGGAAAGGAAAACTTGTCCTAACGAAACGACAGTATAACTCCATAACAAAACATGTGCTTTCGTGGGAAAGAGCGCCCGCGATATTTTGTGCGCGGTCTCCGAAGACCAAACCATATAACGTTTATTTTCTGTCTCTTACATACGTAATACACAATAAGGTGACATATTTTTCTCAAAAACATATAGAGTACATCAGAGTCAAATTTTCCAAGAAAGCTAACCTCAGTGAAGGTCTTTCAAAATTTAGAAGCGCTATTTCAATATCTAGATTGGAAAATAACAAGCAATCCGCCTACAACGCACATTTTCAGCACCGTTTTAAAAGCTTTTCTCACTTGAATAACATCAAAGGGATCCTTGAAACATCTCGTTTAAGTCTCCTTCCAAACCTTTCTCTTAGATTCCAATTCCGGTCCGTAACATTTCAAATGCTTCCCATGCCGTAAATATGGGTATTTCAGATGCATACTATGTGGACACACTAAGACACTACTATGGCATTTGTAAGTACTTTCTGCATATTAAGTCCTCTTCTTATACATAACGTCTACAAATAGAAATGGACCGAGTAGACTCTTAATGCGTACGATGCCTGCCGTATTGAATTATAAACTTAGGGTCATTTGGCACCAAAATGTCAAAATGAGATGCATCTGTCTCTTTCCTAAATAGAATCTGCTGCGCTTATGTTGTTACTACTTATCGAACCATTCCCATTCTCACTAGAGCCTTTTCCGAGCTGTGCCTAGTCATTAGGCCTCATTATTCTGCGCGGCCAATTCGTTTCTAGTCACGTTGTCCAAGGGAAGACGTGGTACGTCACCGAAGTGAATTGACCGATAATGCCTGGGAAAACGCCATACAGGGACTAGGCAAAGTTGTCCCAAGCTTCTGTTTCAAAGCGAGTAAAACTCATTTTCACAAGCAAGGTTTTACACTTGGACTTTGAGAGTAAGAGTTTTTGGAGTCGAGATGTCCTCACAATACTGAACTTGCAATCCTGTTTCCATAGGCCACATTAGCCTTCTGGGAACGAGAATGACGTCCGTGTTGTTATGTTTTATACGACCTTGTTCTTATGTTTATGAAGTACTGGGTCTGGTCTTATACAACCCCTCATTCAGCAGAGAGTGGTGTGATTTCTTTATCCAAATTTTTTATTAATTTAATGATCTGCTGACCTTCAGGGCAGATATTTCGTACATTTTATACTTATGATGCAGTGCATATCAACCAAAGTTGGGTTGTGGATAACGTGGTGGTAATACTTCGTCCTAAACCAAGTAAGTTCTTCGTTTTTTTCAGTGCTTTAAAGTACCATGAACCGGCGCTGAAATTGAGACCGTGACGTCACAATTCTGTCTTACAGGAAGTGAAAATGACAGTACTTCACTGTCAAGGAAACCTTCATTATTGTAGCGACAAATTTCGATTAAGTTATATGATCAACATGTTTACCTTATGTGGATGAGCTATGAAGTTATATCTCTGATGGTAACCAAACTGATCAGATAATTATAACTGTGAGAGGTTTGTACAAGAGTTTGGCAAAGCCTCTCTGTTTTGATTCCTAAAAATTTCTTTTAGACTGCATCACCGCCAAGACATGCGAAGAATGCATTGAGAGGAGAAACTGCACTGAGTTTCATTGCAACTGGTGCCAAAGCCGTGAAAGGTTTTTGTCTTTTCCTGTTTTCCTGAGGCATTTTAATCATTTCTCTAGGGTAACACCTTCCTCTACAAAATTTGTAGATAATAGGAAAACCGAATCCAATCAGTTATCGATTAACATTATTTATTCGAAATAATTCACCCTCCGAAATAATGCAGAAAATAAAGAGAAAAATCAATAGTTCTAGCCGACGGCATCTTCTACATTTTCACAGTGATTATCAGCATTGTTAGCATCCTGTACTATCCTTTGACGTAATTACACCGGATATCGCATATCGCACACAGTCCAAGTTTGCTCAACGCTAGCTGGTCATGAAATATTAGCGGGGGGATTTGGGCCAATCAGAAACGAAGAATCATTTTATCCTTAGCGATATAATTATCATTATTATCCGTCACTGGTTGTCATTGTACACAGTTGATGGTGTTTCTGTAACCGATTCACGTCTTTTTCTGTCTCTTTGTTTCTATATTTTGGCTTTTGTTGTTTGTTATACCAGGTGCTCGGATGGATTTGAACGCCATCGTCAAAAATGGCTCTCTTCGGGCTGTAACAAGTCAGGAATTGTTGAATTAAGTGACTACGCCGTTTATGGGAAAACTAGACAAAGCAGAAGTTAAATTTTGCAGTTAACCAACAAACAGAGCATTCACGCCGATCATTTAAATAAAAGAAACACTTTGAGAATCGTTTGGACATATTGAAAGAGCTGAAACAGTCATCCAAATTATTCTTTAGTCTGAATAAACACCGTTACGGAAAAGTATGCTCGACGGTGTAATAGGAATACATGGTCACGATTTCAAAGTGGCCGTCACGATTTCAGTTTGGCCCATTCGGTGCAGATATTCAGACGTTAGAAATCAAACACATAAGAAGATTTTATTGATAATCGATTTATTTGAGGTTGATTCAGAGCAACAAGCTGTAGAAGTAGTGGAATATTTCATCAAGCTGTTTTTGTGTGTAGCGTATGACAGGTGACTGGTTTTGTGTAAAGTGCAAATCTCATCATGTTGCAGATGCCTTAATTAAACGGTAAATATGATAACAAAGTGCTGATTTTTTTTTTCAATTTCTCGAGTAAGTTACAGGGTTTACCTTGCGCAGAGAACATAGGGTTATTACAATATTTTTTTGTGCAGTACGTGGCAGCTCTATCCAGCATGACTCTATTCCATCATCCGAGATATCTAAGTCGCTCCTTCTTGAAAATTCCAAGTTATTCGATAAATACAGACCAACACCTCCTGCCTGCATTTTGAGTTAGTATTCACAATAGCATAACCAGGAATATTCAAATTTGCACTCGTATTTTCATTAATTTACTCTCTGATATTGCGATGATATCTGGCGTTGTCTTAACTGTGCTTAGAATATCATGCAGCAAGGATTTGTTTTTTCCCAAACTACGAATATTACAGTGGAATATCGAAAACCCTTTTTGTTTACAAGCGTCATCAAATATTTTGCCAGACCTTTTAACTGAATAATAGTGAGATTCAATGTAATTATCATTAGCGCACTTAAAAGGGTCATTTTTGTCTGGTGAAACAACTATATCCCTGTCTAAGTCTACTTTTCCAGAAAGTCGATCTTCCCAGTTCCCACGAGCCTATGGTTTTTAGAAATTCATCATTTTCCAAATCTTGAAAAGGAAAAGAGTAATTTGGTATTATTCTAATACCGGTAGTGGAGTTATTATGATAGTGCACTATTATAAGCTATGGAAAATTTTGGTAATAAATACTTAGTAAAGAGTAACAACATAATAAAAGTAATACACCGGTTACACTACTTATCTTATAGGAGCGATTCCAATTCAAGACTGGTTTGAACGTGGGGGAAGGTTGCTCTTAAATTTATCCAGGGCTTCGTATGAATCAATTACCACTACGGTCGACTTATCTGATTCTTTAACATAGATTCGGCTGTTCTGAGTCCAGATATGTTTCCATCTGATCTTTTTCCTCAGCTAGTTAACTTCGCCGAAGAGCTCTTTCTTGTACCTGGTCAGGGATTCGGATATGTATACTTTGCTTTCGGCACTGATACCAAGATCGGGGAGGTCACTAGCTTTCTTGTCAATAAGCTTCCTTCGGTTCGTATAGAAGCTAGTAGTACATATGGCTACTTGGGGTCCTAACCAATCAGAGCGCAGCAAATTTGGTCTCGACCAATCAGCATCGCGCATTTCGCCCATGTGACTTATTGACGTCACAACCCATTGTTTTAAACCACGTGACCCCATAGGAATAAAGAACACGCACACACAAGAGTTGAATCTCACATTCTTGGCATAGTTTTAATGAACCGCGTGAAGTCCTGGGTACAAGCGGGACGTGTGTGACACCCTAGTGATATCACGCCCAATTACAAATCTAATAGCAAGTCAAGTTCATCTCCAATCCTCTCATAGCCATAGGGATAACTGGATCGGGTGGCGACCTCAATGACACGCTTGTCGAACACCAACCCATACTGCTTCACGCGCGGAACCACTTGAATTTGTTTTTGTTCCAAATCTCGTTGGAAATAATAAGGGTTGGTGATATTCAAATTGCGTCGAGACTCCTGGGGCGAATCCAATTCGGAGAGAATGTTCTCTTTCATGGTCTGAAAATTAAGAATGGCCGACCCACGGACGTTGAGCGTGAAACCACGTACCTTGCATACCACTTTACCCTGTCGTGTCGTGTACCCATAATTCTTGGCACCCCCCGAAACAAACTCAATGATGACGTCACCATCCAATTCATCGGTCATGTCCCCGAGAAAATCCCCGGTGGCAATGCTGGGTTGACCGGGCCGCCATTTGTATACCACACTATCAGTGTCGTAGTAAAGGACTTGCTGTTGAAGGGTATCCAGAGACTCGTAGAGCTTGAGTCGAGCATGGCAGGTAGTGAAAGCGGCCACAAAAATATTGGTCTTGGTGCCTTTGACAGCATTGTCTTGGACACTGGTGTAAACGGCTTCCAAGATATCGTCCGTGCAAAGGCGGAGCGTACTGAGATCGAGGGCAGCATCGGAAATGAGATTGAACAAATGGGCGGGGTCTTGGACAGTGACAGTGGTGGGTTTATTGATCCGCTCCCCAAATTTGCCCCAGAAACTGTTCAGCATGAGCTTGGCCGTGGCTTTGCGACCGGGATTTTTGGCAATACTGGCAATGTCCAGTTGGATGCCTTCCCGTTCCTGGTAACGAAGAATGTAATGGCGTTTTTGCTCAAGGGTCTGACACCAACCGGGCCACCCCGCGGATTCTTGTTTGATCTTGAGCCACGTGTTCACATAATCGGCAAAAAGACCCGTTTGGCGTTGCTCAGGGGGAAAATGCCAGACTTCGTGAATCTTGATCAGCGTGTACCCCTTTTCGACCGCTTTGACCAATTCGGGTGTGCACCAGGTACCGCGTAGCGTGCGATCCACATCAGAATGAGGGCAATAACGGGTTCGGGTCAACATGGGTTGGGCCTGCTCGGTCTGAACACAAGCACGGCAGAGAGGAAAGGTGAGCTTGTGGCCGCTACGCACAGGCAGAACAGGATGGAACAAACCAGCGGGGGGAAGAATATCGACGGTGGCTAGACCAAAATAGGAGTCCAGGGACTGGTCAGCGGGTTGCGTGATGATCCGCGGATGTCCGATGGGATAGGGACAGTTTTTATTCACCCACGGGTACAAGGAGGTCACATCCACATAGCGTATTTCCTCACTTTCTCCAGCTACGGCATGCAGAGCCACGGCACCGGTTCGGCCTCCAAAGAAGGCTTCACGGGGTTCCAGGGGTGCCACCAGATCAAAGGAATTCAGGAAACGTTGAACAGCCTCATCCGTGTCCACTAGTCGGTCCCATTCACATTCCCACATTTCGATGACTGTATAACCCGCTCGGAGCAAGGCCGTGCGTTTGGAGAGCGTGGCTTGATAGAGTTCCTCTACAGTTCGATCCGGCGTGGCATAATGTTTGGCGTTTCTCGCGGGATAACAGCGGGGACAGCCATGGTAGAGACATCCGTGGAACTCATAGACGGTGCGAGTCACAGGATCGTAGCCATCGACGAAATGACTGTCGACGCTGGTTCGGACCGATTGTTCGCCACCATTACGAACGTGACGTATGCGATCAGCACTGGCCCCCTCTTTGGGAAGGAGATGTTCTTGGTAATAGAGCCATTGGAGGGCTTTGAGGGAATGGTTGACTTGGGCCCCTCGCCACCCTCCGAGAGGTTCCACTGCAATGGTGTCGGGGGTCAAATGATGCTTGCGCCAATACAAATTGCAGGCACTGGCGATGGTGATGCACTTGGCCATAGGATTGAAGCCCGCCTGTTGTTCAAATTCTTGTTGAAAGGCTTCACACCCCGCTTTCAAGAGAGCCACATCGGATTTGCAATACTCAATCATTTCTTGCTGGAAATGGAAGGGCACGTTCCGACGGACTTGATCCGCATGCCAACGAGTCAGTTCCTCTTTCTTTTTGGCCATCATGCCGTCGGGGTCGTAAAATTCCAAATCAGGGATGCGGCCCACATACTGTTGGTGATCGGGGGTGTTGAACAAATGGGGAAAGAACCCCTTTTTCAATTCGGTCAAATTGAAAGTACTGGAAAAAGAGGCCAGTGGCATAGGCAAGAAACACAACGAGTCGATGAATTTGAGGGGTCCACTTCTGAACGATAAGACTTTGGCGCCCACGGTCAGTTGATCCACGACCTCGCGTTGTTGCTGGTAGAGTTCATGGAGAATGAACATACCATCAAACCCTTTTAGATTGTGAAACACCACGAGTATCGTCCGCTCGCCCTCACAATCTGGAACATCCGTGAGATCATCCAAATCGCGCAAAAATTGGAGGGCACAGTCCTCCCCGTCCAAGACATGAATGGTGGTGTCGACACTCGACGAATAACACAACAAATTAGCCACAAACACACCTTCTGCATTCTGCATGGCTTCAAAATCTGCGTAAACAAACAGGGGAGGGGGTGGCGCCACCATGCGACCTCCCCCCTCCTCTGTCGGTTCAGTCTCCTCATGCTCATCCTCCACAGGCTGAATGTAACATTGATGGTTCTGGATGGACACCCATTCCTGACACGCTGGGCATTTGGCGTACCCGCACCGGTGACGTTGGTTACGGACGACTGTGTATTGGGCTTGACACTTGAGACAGATTTTGATGGATTGACATTGCTTGCTGATTTCATGATAACGTTTGCATTGAGGACCGTAAAACTTGCGGTAACACAGACTGCAATACTCGGTGGGGCGGGTGCCACGCACATAATCCGGACAATCAAAACGTCCACACGCAGAGCAGCGTCTCCCTTGACAAGTATGATTGGTCCGATCGTCGGTGTTGAACCCCCGTTCACAATCCAGGCAATAATACGAACGATTGACAAAGGCAGGAAAAGACGTGCAGCCATCAAAATGATCGTTGGACTTGAGTAAACGAATCTGATGAGGGGCGTCAGGGCCTTTGAAAATCAAAAAGAACGGTTTCATCCGGGTCATCACCAAGAGTTGATAGTGAGATCCCAACGCTTGTTGAAACTGACGAAGCTCGGGGATGCCACAGGGACCCTCCGCGACTCCCGCTTGCTGATGGAGGGCCTGGGCTTGACGTTGCTGCACAGGTCGACCACGTTTGAGATTCTCCCAGTCGCGAAACCCGTCCACGCCTTGATCTTTATGGCAATAAGCACGCATGGTGACAATAGCGCGGGCACAACATAAAGTATCTCTATTTTTGATGGGGACAATGCATCTCTTTTTCTGGTTGACTCGATCCAAACATAAACGTCCCACATTGCGTTGTTTATGTCGACCAGACCCTGGGCCAGGCATGGAGACAAACACCACATCCACTTGGAACCCACGATCGGGGTTGAAGGCTTCATTGCTGTTCAACTTGCCAGCTAGGGTAGCTAACATCTCATCCAAACGAGCCGTACGTTGTAAAAATTCTCCCACAGTAAAATTAGCGGTTTGATACGCGTGAGTGAACCCATGCGCTGTAATAGCAAAGTTCACAAAATGATGGGCAGGTCGCTGCTCGCGGTCAAGTTCTGTTTCAATGGCTTGATGCAAGGCTTCCGTGAGGGCCATCCCAATATTATCTCCAGGACCAGGATCCCTCAATTGACGCAATTGCGCATTGAATTGTGCGCGTTCCACCACATTCCGCCAGCGGCGTCGTCGACCTATAGGTTGCATGGTAAACTGAAAGAGAGGGCCTCGAGCGGGAACGGCTCCGCCCATTTGTTCCCACCGGTCATAAGCGCGGTTTAATAGAGCTTCTTCTTCTTCATCACTGTCAGGATACCAGTGGTCCTCCGCCATGACGGAGGAGGCAATTTGAATGTTCCCGCGCCAGACGCGGACTTTTATAGACCTAAAAAACACGTGATCAGATGAACAGGGATTGGTGGATGGGGCTCAGGTGAGAGTCAGGTGAGGGTCAGGTGAGGGGTTGAATAGACAGGAGGAGGATTGAGGGGGGTGCCCCCCATGGGTACAGATTTTTCCAGTCTCCTCTGAGCCTGGACCGAGATCAGTGATTGGCGGAAAGATGGCTAGATATAGGCCAGCGTCCAGACCAGACGTCAGTTGCCATCGAGACATGCCTAATCGAGATCCGGAGAAGGTGAAAGAAGCGAAGCAGAGGTGGTACCTGAAACACCGGGAAGAGATTGTGAAACGGAAACGAGAGCAGCGAGCCGCCAAGAAAAAGCTCAAACCGCCCAAGCCGCCCAAACCGCCCCCGACCCCAGAGGAGATTGCCAGAGCGCGAGAATTGAACCGGTTGGCCTGTAACCGGTACCGAGCCACGCACGGTGACCAAGTACGGGCTTTGAACCGTCAATATTATCATCGACACCGCGACCGGCTTATCCAGCAGCAACGGGACCGTCGTGCCCAGAACAGACAGACGCCCAGTCCCTTTAGAAAATTGCGGGCCTTGGCAGACGTGTGTGCTTCGCGTGTATTGGAGCTGGATCATGGATACGCCAGGATCGCGCCAGCCCCCCAAACCCAGGAAAAAACGGGACCCTGTCAAAAACAAAATTCAACAAAAAGCGTATCGGCAACGCTTGTATGCCAAACCCAACGGCATGGAGGATGTCAAGGCCCTTCACCGTCGCCGCTATCACGAACGGATGGCCCGGTTGAAAGCCAATGGCGAGTATGAAGCCTTTAAAGCCAAAAAGACCCAAGAGGGCATGCAACGCTACTACGGCATGAGCAAGGAACAGCGGGAGGTGGTCAAGCGTAAAAACGCCCAATGTCAGAAAAACTGGCGGGAGAAAATGAAAGAGCGAGGGACCTACCAGGCTTATCTGCAACGGACCAATGCCCATCGACGAGAGCAGGCCGCCCAGAAAAGAAAAGAGTTGGGCGAGGAAGGGTGGAAAGCGTTGCAGAAAGAACGGTACAACAAGCGAATGGAAGCCATTCGACGTCGAGAATGGTCCTGGTTGGACGAGGCATTAGAGCGTCCCTTTCCCCTCCCGTGGTTGCCATTGGACTTGCCCCTAAGTGTACCCGATGAGGACAATGTGCAAACCCATCGCGCGGAGGCCTTACAAAAAATAGACTCGTGCTTGTAAGAACAAACGTTTAATTAAATCATGTGTATTGGGCTATTGAACATGGTGTCTTGTTTTTTTTATGACTAAAGGGGGTTTACATGCCGAATCGAAGTTTAGCTTTCATAATGCGTCTCACAATACGCTCTGTTAAATTTTTACTACCGGGGAGTTGATCAATCTTGGCAATCATCTTGCGATCCGCTGCCCATTTGTCTTTCAATGTCTTGGCTTTATCATAATCGATGTCATGGGCTTTGGCAATCCTGTCCAACCGGTTGATACCGGGATCTCCACGGGCCAATCGTTTTTTCAAATGAGTGCCAGGGCCCATATATTGATAACCAGGCCAATGAAATTCAATGCCGGTCTTGTTGAGGAGGTTCTGCACATCAAATAACTTGCCGCCCCGTTGCGACCGTCGTCGTCGCCTCGCTCGGGAACGGGAGGCCGCAGCACGGCGTTTGCGTCCCATCTTAGGGGGTTTTCCACGATTTCCAATCCAAGGCTTTCTTGGCCCAACCTGCGGCTTTCTTTTTGGCGATACTCGTAGCTCTCTTTTTGGCCACTTCTTTGGCTTTTTGTCTGATTTTGCGCTTGACGGCTAAGGAGGGGGTGTCCCAAGGTGTCGGGCCCACGTCCTCTGAAAAGGGCAATTCTTTGGCCAACTCCGCACTGGTCGATGGGGTGGTAAACTTGAGTTTCTTTTTGGCACTGGGCGTGAACCTTGGTTTGGGCGGGACAGGGGGTTTTCTGGGTCCACCAGTCGGGGTGCCTTGTTTTATACCCTGGGTGGCCTTGACCAATTGCGTGAACCAGGCTTGCATGGGACCCGCTTCAAAATCATCGTCGCCCGGCGTCGTGGCCCCGGCAGCGGTCACACCCCCAGCAGCGGCTCCAAAGGGTTGGCGCACTTTTTTAGTCCAATGGCGTAATTGACGGCTGACGGCTTTGAGTTGAGGCCGTTTCCAGGCATCAGGGACATCACTGGTCAAGAGGACATGTTGTTTGGCGGCTAAATCGGCGGCTTTGGTCAAGCGGGTGTCTTCCACCAATTCTTGTTTGTACTGGTCTCGTAATTGTAAAAAAGCCGGGGCGTTGTTCACCGTGGTGCTGACCATCTCGGGTTCCATGGTGCAACTGAGGGGTTTTCTTTAACGCATGCAACGTTTATAACATCGGTAGAGTTCCGGCCAGAGGGTACCCCCTTTTTGAGCCATCATGATAGCGCGTCGGCGTTTGACGGAATGAGCGGGTTTAGCCATGGCGCGTAAACTCTGAGCGTGAGGTTTGAGTAACGTAATGGTGTGTCGGGAACGGGGGACGGTGCCACGGAGGGTATTCATCACCAATTCACTGACAGCATTGATCTGATCCGCATTGGCCATCCGCAACAATTCTTGTCGTTTGTGTTGATTGGCTTCTCGTAAGACACTTTTTAAGAACGGGGCTTGACGTTCCATGCGCCACCCCATGATGAATCTCGAGTTCAGGCAAGGACCAAGGTCTATTTATGGTAAAAATGGCGCCACACCGACCACACAATTCCCCATGATAATGCGTTTGCATGTGATGTCGGCACCGGGCACACAAGGCGGCAACATACTGGTCATCCCAATCCAACGCAAACGTGACGGCTTTGCGTTTTGGGCGTCGTTTAGTCTGGGCGTCGTAGTCGGATTCTGGGTTTGAATTTCCGGAGATACAAAGGCGAGAGAGCCATTGCCAACAGCGGGAGTTTAGCACCGCGTTGGCGTCCACGTCGGCGGCGTCGTATTCGAGGGACATAACGATGTCGACGACCGTTGGGGCCACGAACCATTCTTCAATGAGAATCGTGTGTCCCACCCAGCGTTTCTTTTATAGCCTTTTCAGCGTTTCGAACCAGCCCAACCCGGCATTCGATTGAACATCCGCTGGACTCGTCGTTGGGCCAGTCGTTGATTGGCGGCACTCATCTTGCCCACTTTCTTTTTCTTTTTCTTCTTCATGAGGACGGCGGCAGCCACCGCTGCGGGAATGAGAAACGGGAGAATACCCCCGCGTTGCTTTCGGCGTCGTTTTCGTCGTCGTGGACCACAATACATGATGATGATGAACTGTCCGAGGGAGGACACACCTTGGGTCTTTTATAGTTTTTTTACATAATGGAACAATTAAAGGATTCCCCCGCGTATTTTTTCCGTTTGCCGGAGGCCACTTCTCGTCGACGTTTTTCGCCAATGGCGATGGCACGCTTGGTTTGATGATCCCCGATGGCTTTGGTGATCCCATAGCCGGCTTTGAGAATCCCTAGGGGCATGCTGACCGCAACACCCCCTACTTGACTCACACGCCGTCGTCGTTTGGCGGGTCGTCGTCGTGTCGTCCTGCGTTGGCGTTTGCGTCCCATCGCGTATCGACAACGGCCACACATTTTTGGGACAGGGGAAGAAAGGTCCCTGTTTTTATATACTACGACCTCGTCCACGGGCTCGGCCCCGTCCGCGTGCTCGGCCACGGCCCCGTCCTCGGCGTGGTGGTCTGGGTGGACTTGGGCTGGAGGTTCGGGTGGAGGTGCGGCGCACCGAGGGACGACCCCCCTCTTCATAGACGGTCGTCACCGTATTAGTGTGCGTGATGTTGCGAATCCGTCGACCTCGTGCCCGTTCTTGAGCATCTTCATTGAGCAAATCCAACCGTCGCCTTAAGCCTCGCCGTCGATCGTCATCATCATCATCGCCATCCTCGTCATCGGACGGAGGGGACGAACCTGGGGACGGTGGGGAGGGCACCCTGGGGCGCCGTCGCGGTTGTTTGGCAGCGATGGTGGGGCGTCCAGTGGGGGTGGTCACGGTCGAGGTGGTAGTCCTGGTTCCTGCCCCGACACTGCGGCGGGAGGTGGAGGGGCGGGCAGGGGCGGTGGTGGTCGTAGCCGTGGTGGTAGGGCGTGTTCGGGTGGACGTGACGGGTCGTGGTCGGCTGGTGGTGGTGGTCGTGGGGCGGGTTGGGGCTGCCGTGGTGGTGGTGGTGGTGGCAGTGGTGACAGGGGCTGTACCAGTGCCTGCCACGGGCGGGAGCGTGAAGGCATTCAAGGCATCGTCTACATTGACCGGGTAAGTCAAATTGAACTCGTCAATGTCTTGCTGCAATTGGGTACGATCCACGGGTCGAGACAATTCGGTCACCATGTCCGTCATGCTGCTGAGATCTCGGAGGACCGAGGGGGAACCTACCCCCGCGGGCGTGTGAGCGTCCATGCGAGCAGCTAACTCAGTATGTTGTCCGCCTTCTCTTTGCCGCCGTTGACGTTCGCGTTCTCGTAGCAGCGCGTTTTCGATCGGCAGGGACATCCGCCCGCAAGGTGTGGACTTGGGCTTTGCCTTCTCGGGGCGTTAAATGACTCCACAGGCGGTAGCGATCATCCGAGGCTGGATGTACATCCAACATCAAATAGCCAAACGGACGGGCCGTGATGCGTTTAAATAGGCGCAAGACTTGACGCCATCGATCCGGAAAGGCTTGCAATAAAATGGTCCGTATCCCTGTTTGATCCCGGGGGTTTTTGAAGGCCACAATGTAATGCGCGTTGCGATTGATGGTCTTGGAAAATTTACCCGGCGGGAATAAATCTTGCGTCAAATACAACACCGTGATGTTGCGATGATGCGAATCTTTGGTGAACAAATCCAACACGCGCTTGTCTTGTCCCCCTTCTTCCATCAGGTCGTCCAAGACCAACACCCCGCCACGCGTTCGACCAAACCATTGCGTCAAATGACGGGGGTCCGGTAACCCGCGATAAAATTGAATCCCATCCTTTTGTTGCATACGCTCGAATCGGGGTTGCCAGCGATCATAGGCATACACAATCTTACGGGGTTTGACTTGAAACACGTTGAGGTACCGTAACCATTGTTCCACCAAATCCGTCTTGCCACTGCCCGACGGGCCTGCGATAATCACACTGCTGGGTTGTCGGATCATGATTCCCACGGTCGAGGGTGACGTCGATAATGACCGGTGGCTCCTTTAGCACCCATGCGTTTATACCGTTTGTCGCGTCCCAATTTATAGCCGATTTTGGCTGCTTTGGCCAACACGCTCATGATGCCTCGTCCGTTTTGGCGAAAGTAGGGTCGTCGGGTGCCCTGTCGTTGTCGTCGTCGTTGCCGTCGTCTACGGTGGGGCATGCTGTCCAATACTCGCGATACACACGTGGCGATTCAGACTGGATCAGACCTTCCATGGTTTCTCTTAAATACGTTTCGCTCATACTGTCCATATACTGTTTGAGGGAGACCCAATCTTGGTCTTGGGCCAATTGTCGGGCCATGAGCCAATGATACCCATCCCACGCGTCAATGCCTTGCACGGTGTTGACCCGTTCGATGGGGTGTTCCCACCAATACAAGGTTTCTTCCAGAATGAACGCATCCACAATACGCTGGACATCGGCGCGCGTAATCATCATGAGAGACAAATGACCACTCGTGGACCACACATCTCGTTTTATGGTTTTTATTAACATGCACAAGGATGACACGTGATAAAGGCCTGGCGGCTTACATTCTTTTGCCCCCCATCCCGTCGGGCATCCACTTCATCTTGTAATTCCTGTTTAATCACCCGTTTCAACTGGTCGGCCACTTTATGATCATTCAACACTAAATTGTCACAACTCCATTGACTCAAAAATTCTTGATAGGACCGTCCTTGTGCCCGGGCTTTCAAGAAAAATAATGCATAATGGCCACAGGTTTGACTATCCAGGGCTTGCAGGGTCTGGTCACTGCGCGTCAGGTACTTCCATTGACCCCACCATTGGTGCAACTCCGGGGTGGTGTACACGTGCAGGGGTAGACCATAACTGTCAAAGATCTCGCACTGGTTCTTTTCGGTCCATAGGCCCAACCAATGCTGGCCCGGTTCTCCCGCGGGGTCCGTGTTGACAATGTAGGCTTGACGGATCTCCTTGGCGGGGGATCGGGGAGTTGGTCGGCGGGATGCACCCCATGAAACACGCGTCGTAATGCGGGGTCTTCCAAGGCCAGGGTCCGCAACACAGCATCACTGAGTGCCACAAACTCCATGCTCGGTGTCTTTTTGACTTCTGATGTCTCAGCCGTTGATGTTGTACTTTATACCTCCCAGATGGTTGATCTCATACATGTTTTCATACTCGCTCCATACCAAGACGGTGACGTTGTGTCCCACAGCCGCAGCAAAATCAATGATCAATCGCGTATTGCCCGATTGACGGGGGTTGCGATATTCAGGGTCATCGGCTTTTTGACTGGGCACATTGTTGAACATGAACAAGGTACAATTCTTGCCTTGTCCCCAATCACCAGGCAGTAGCATGGGAATCTTGTGTTCATTGTAGGCACCCATGGCTTGTAGAAATCGATCGTAGCCCAGCAAATCTTCATAGGCTTGGTCTCCTGTCAATTGCAGGGTTCTGTAAGGGTATTCTTCTCCATTCAAGGTCTGTCGTACTTGGGTGACACCAAACTTTTGAAAGGCAAAAGGGTATCTTTCTAGGTCTCCATTGAAGGCATCCGAATGCAATAATCCGACAATCACTCGATCAGGAAATCGTCCCACAAACACATTGTCTTGTTCCCATTGGGTGGTGCGTCCATCAAAGGAAAAGGTGCGAATTTCACTCCGCACCACAGGGTAACGGGCAATCTGTTTGTTCAGTTGTCTTTCTTTTTGCAGTCTGACATAGACAGCAGCATTCAGGGTCACTTTTCTCATCAACAAGGTGACTTTGATGTCATCATTGTGGATGGCTGGAATTTTCTTGACGTTCAAGGTGCCTTTGTTGGGGGAGCCCATCAGGTAGATGGTCTTGGGGTTGAGGAACAGTTCAAAGTCCAACTGGATATTGGGGACCAACAATTTGCCTGTATGGAGGGTGGGCAAATGGGGGCGAACGATGAAGGTGTGCCAATTTTCACTCAGTAACTTGCTGGTCAGGGCACGTAACTCTGCATTGCCACTCCAATTTGCAGCCACAGGGACATCGGAATTGGCGGCGGTGGCTCCTATTTCTTCTGCTACATTCAGCTGATTGACCCATCCTTGGGCGGCTAGCTTGGTGGCTCCTTCTTCTCGGTTGTAATTCAGCAGGGTTTCTATGTAGGCTCTGTAATGGTAAGTGTTGCTCTGTTCGGTCACCAGGACGCCATTCATGCTCATGGTAATGTCTCGAAAGATGGATTGCCCAAAATTGTTGACGCAGTAGACATGTCTGGTTTCGTTGGCATTGGAAATGAGTAGACCCGCATCCAGTCCTGTATACCCAGCGGCTGGATCGGTCAAACGCACTTTGACTTTGAAGCGGAGAGAATTGAGATCGTAATAATCGTCCGAGCCAGGAATGGAGAACGTGATGGGCTGGATGCCTGTCAAAGCGGGTTGAAACTCCACCTCCCGCGAGGCTTCGTACCGATAATCCACATCAGGCACGTCAAACAGTTCGAGCGACATGGTGCAATCTGTCCACGAGGTTCAACGACGTCCTCTTTTTATACCTTTTCGTAGTCTGTGCCAATCATGGATGGGATGCGCAGCGGGAAAGGGGCGGTGCGGAAAATCGATTTGAATGCGTTTTTTCAATCGGCTAAAGACGTTGCCTCCTTTCTGTTTCTTCTTCTGTTTCCGGGCTTTGGCTTGATTGGCCCACAACACTGTTCGGAGATCCCCCTTGCCCAACGCCCCAAGAATCTTGCCCCCTTTCATGCGGCGCAGGGCCTGTTCCACCCTCCATGGAGCAGGATTGATGCCATCGGCGGCTGTGGGGAACCCCAAAGGATTTTGGCGCCTACGAGTGAACGTGCCAAAAATCGTGCCCCCTTTCATCCTGCGCTGTAGGTAACGATCCAATTGGCGGGAGGACGTGTGCATCAGCGGATAACGCGCTGTCGTCGACTTGCCAAAGATCGTGCCTCCCACTTGATACGGTGAAATAAACCGTCCACGGGCCCGTTGCCGTCGAACGCGATTTTGCGATTTGAGAAAACCTCCTACACGTACCATTGTTTTCACAGTCCAAAGATGTCCCGTACACGTTGCGTGGCTCTTTTATAGGTATTTTGAGCGGTCCGTTTAACCTTGTGTTTGCCAGCCGTCCAAGCCATGGCGGGGGCTTTGCGTTTCAAGCCGCGGCTGAGTTGGGCACTTCGATCGGCCCAGGTGGCTGCAGCACTCTTGCCACGTTGAATATCTTGCAGTCCCGCTTGAGCTTGTTGCACGATCAAGGGCCCCGCCAGTTTGATCAAGTCTTCGGCCAAGCCTTTACCCTCTTGCTTGGTGAGCACGGGCGTGTGGTACCGCGTTAAACTGCCTCCGCGCATCTTGAGTCAAGTGTTCTTTTTGAACGGGTGTGGTTTGGCTTTTTATAGCTGTTTGAGACCAATGGTCACCAGGGTTTTGCCGGGGGGTAAAGGGGCCAAGGGTCCACTGGTACTGGCAATCTCCACTTCCAAGATGTCTAGTTGATTTCCTCGGAGTTTGATCCATTGGTGGTGCAGGGGTTCGGCCGTACTTTCCCCATCGCCGGTTCTCAACAATTGCACTTCTCGTAACAGGGGATACTTGCCACTGCCCACCACCGTGGATTCCACCAGATCTGAATAGACCATGACGGTCCGTCGGCGGGTTCCCACAATCTTTTCAAACGAGGCATCCAGGTTATTCAAACGCCATTCAAACGCCTGGTGCAATCTCATCCATTTTACATTGTCTTTGGTCACGATGAAAAAGGCTCGGCTGGTATAGTTGACCCCCTCGTACACCTCCCCTTCCCAATCGTAATAGGCTCGATATCGACTCCCGGCGGGACCCGTGGTCTCATCATAGGTCTTGACGGGCAAAGAATATTGCAGATTCGGCCCTATCAGATAATCGCTCTGGCTGCTTCCTGTCTTGCCCGTCTTGAGGCGCAGCAATCCAAACTTGAATGCAATGTCCACATTGATGTAAAACTCCACCATGTTGATTTGTCTATTGTTCAACAACTGCTTTTTAGGAATCGCTTCAATCACCAGAGACTCATCTTTCCAAGTCATTCGGGGCATGCCGTGTTTATTGACAAACACAATCGGTTTTCGGTCGCTATTCTTGATCAGTTCGCTCCATTGATCTTTCATCGCCGTGTACATGATGAAGTTATGCATTTGTTGCGCCACGCGTTGCCAAAACTGTCTCCCCGTCGCCACGATTTGAGTGGGATTCATGACATCTTCCAATTCAATCATACCGGTCACCGTGGGGGAACTCACGCTCAAATACCCTGAAGTCGATGGGTTACCCGTGTCTGTCCACAGACGCACCGATTGTGGATACTCGTATCGGACCACTTTGGTATGAGGATCCGCGGCGATGATGGCATTGCTCTGGCCTTGATCTGGCACGGTCAGGGACATGAGCGAGGCATGCCAGCCTGTGCCTGGTAAGTCCAGGCGTTCGGGCAGACGGACCTTGAAACTGTTGTTGGCATTGTTGGGAAACTCGTCGGTCGGATCGCTGATGAGCGTCAAGCGTTTAATCTCACTCATCATGAGAAAGAAGAGGCACGTCCCCCAGGGTGCAGGGTCCTTTTTATAGCCACGTCGCCACTTTCTGTTTACTGCGAGGGACACGTCCCACCACTGAATTGAAGGTCGATTGTTTAGGATGAAAACATACTTGCTGGGCAATGTTGGGAAAGGCCCGGGCCAATTCCATCAGGGTCATGCAAGTCTTGGGTTTAGGGGGTTTCTTCTTGCGCATGGGGGGATGACGCCCAGCGCGTCGGCGTTGTTTCTTGGGTGGAGATCGTAGAGCCCCTCGTTGCTTGGCATACTCTTCGGCTCGATGGTAGGCATTGGCGTAGGCCCATTGCTGTTTGGTAGGACTGGCCAACTTGTCCCACCACGGTTGGGTTTGCCGTTGTTCGGCGGCTTTCTTCTGGATAAATTTCAGGACGTCCGCGTCACTGGTGGGCGAGGGCGTGTAACTAGCTCGCGGTCGACTGGAATCCGCCAGGACTTCATCGAGAAACCGCACCCGCTTTTTTCTTTTTCGAGGCGTTATTTTGACGCGGACCATGTTGCGCGGGAATCCAACTATCGTACTTGGCCGGCCACCCTTTCCACCGGACCAAGATCTGACGTCCTTTCCGTTTCAAGATTTTTTCGATTCGAAACAACGAGTCGTCCGAGACTTGGACTTTTTGCACGTCGGGTTCGTAAAACGTGCCTTTTATAGGGGTGCCGTCCCATTCACTGAGTCGATAAGTGACCACAGGATGACGACGCACATGCGTGACCACAAATACTTCTTCCGTCCAGCCTGGCAAATACCCTTTTTTGAAGGGACGATGTTTCTTGTTGAGACGTACCCGATCGCCCACGCGACATTTGGGTGGGGGGATCTTGGGCTTCAATCGGGCTCCATAGAGTCGATCCCATACCTCGGACTCGTTTCGAAAGGTGACTTGATGCGGCGCTAACCCAATGCTGCGATGATACGTGTGATTGTAGGTATAGATCAAAGGTTGCAAGACGTTCACGTACCGTAACGTATTGTGCGCGGTGAAATACCGGTACATGCGTTGTTTCAAGGTACGATGCCATCGTTCCACCACCGAGGCCTTGCTATCCCCATACGTGTAAAAATGATGCCAATCGTGTTTCTTGAACCAGGCTTGGACCTGGCGATTCAAAAATTCTTGGCCTTGATCCGTTTGCACACGGAGGGGTCGTCGTGGTGAGGCGCGTCGGCGTATCGTTTCCAACCCTTTGATCATGTTGGCGGCACTCTTGGATTTGATGGGGACGGCCCAGGCATACTTGGACAGGACGTCGATGACCGTTAACAAATATTTGTGGCCTTGGTTCCACCGACTGAGTTTTTGCATGTCCACTAAATCCATCTGCCATTGTTCGTCTCGGCCAAAGACCAAGGTGGGCGTGGTGGGAAATCGGGTCCGTCGGGGTTTGTGGAGCGTATAGCTCAACACGGATTGAAGAATCTGTTGCGCTTGCGGGGATTTCAATTTATGGGCTCGGGCAAAGGGTTGGACCCCACCCAAGGCCCCCGGTGCTTGGGGATCTTCGTAAGCGCGTGGCAACGACATCAAGACACTGACACACGATTCGAGTCCAAGTCTGTCTTTTAATAGTTTTTTTCACACACACCTACATTTTTTTTCAAAACAAACACGAACTGCCAAAGTTCTTATGTAAATGGCGCCTTCGCTCAAATTCTCGCTCCTGGGCTTGGACAGACTCGCCAAACTGTTTCATCCACGGATCATGCTTTAGCTTGTCTATTACTGGGTTTGGCCTCTCACCATAACGCATCTCTACAGCGTGCATGCCCCAGGGTCTCTCCTTTTCTGGACCTTTCATAAGAGGGAGGGACTCCTTGACCCATCGTCTCATGGTCGGTTGCGCTTGTTCACGGGGGCACCACAAGGGACCATGGAGCCATTGAAAGTAGCCACAGGGTTTGGCATGGGTGAGAAAGCTCCCACAACTGAAAAACACTTTGTTACGATTTTTGGCGGTGCGACTCAATTTCATCTTGGGAACCAACCCACACTTGCACTTGAGTTCTCCATGTTTCACACGGGCATGGACTTGAGGATGCGTGTCTTTTTTCAAGGCCTCCATCATCACCTCTCGCGTGTCTTCAAACAAATACACGGGACACCCTTCTTGGGGACACTTGAACCTCAAGGGACCAAAACTGGTTTGGGGGTTGACACAATAGAGAAATTGATGGGGATGAAACGGGCACACTTCATACAGGAGTTGGTTGAACTGGGTGTCCATCTGGTCTATGTCCTGGATATCCCATTCTCCCACTTCGGTGGCTGGATCTGAATGAAACGTCCCTTCCTCTACACATTCTTCTTTATAGTCTTTCAGGGTGCCCTCCATCAATGCGTTCACAGATTGATCGGTGGGGGAAGGTGTGGGCACGGGCGTCGGGTCAGCCGCTTTAGGCAAGGCATTGAGCGCGATCACCAGTTCACTGGTCGGGGGTTGTTTGGCTTTCATCTCCGCGAGTTCTGCTCGGGAAAACCCGAGCTCGGCCATCTCCTGATCATGATCCGCTTTCATCTGTGCAGCTCGCGCTTGGGCTTTCTCCTCTTCCTCTTGTTTTTGTTTCTTACTGACGCGACGTCGTTTGCGTCCCGAAGGCACGGCGGCAGGTTGAGTGGCTTGACGATTCATCTGGACGAATGAGTTCCAGAGAGCGTCTACTCGGCCTTTTATAGCCCCTCCTCCTGCCTCATGTGATGCCACTCGTGATACTCATACGATCCTTTTTCCACCAATCCGGACTCGTCCTGGGCTATCGTGATGATCGTATGATCTTGGTCTCCACCAATTAGAAACCACCTCCGCTCCTATAAAACCAGATGTGACTCGCTAGGGTCTCATTCTGTCTATGGAGCCTGACGGTGGATTTATTTTCAAGGAACTTCCTATCGTAGT